TCCACCACATCCCGCCCTCCCTGGCCAGCTTCCCCCACAGGGTTCTGTTTTTGCCCAAGACTGCTGTGAGATCTGAGTTGCCACTCTCGACGTCAAGCCGAAAGACATCTTCCACCGTGTGAGGGCCTGGAAGGCGAGACAAATCTCTCAGGGACATTGCTCATAGCTGATAGCTGGGCGAATGCCCGCTGTCAGAGAAATCGGAGACAGAGATCGTCATGCACTGACACATCTCACTGAACCTAGTACTTTCTCTTGAGGGTACTGAGCCTGTGCCACGCCTCATGTTGCATTGCTGCAGACATGATTGCCATCGAAAGTAAGACAATTGCCATAGCATCTGTAATAGCGCCTATCGGAGATGCATTCCTCTCGCTGCCAGCGATTTTTTAGAAGTTGGCAAGCGCATCATGCCCCCGCATGCCAGATCTATTTGGTCTTGATGAAGAAGCACACGGCTCAGTCTTGACGAACTGCCTGGGTAGCCAATCGCCACATTACTGAACCGCGCCGCCCCTAAACTCTAAACCCTAAGCCCTAAGCCCTCAGCACAGTTGGAACCCGAGGCTGCTGCCCAACATCGGCTCCTTGTCACCAAAGATGACCTGCGACGTGCTGGCTGCTGTGGCCAAGGCCTTCAAAGGTCTTCTACGGTTTAGGGCTTAGGGTTTTTTAGGTCCTGCTAGCTGAGTGAGATAGAAGTCTGAATAGTTCGTACTAACATTCACTGGTATTCCCTACGTATAGTATGAGTAATATAGATGACTGAAGAGCGAGAGTAGTCCCTGGTAATTTAGTACTATCTTGCCGCGGAGAGTGGCACTCCTTCTGTGATCAGGGTTTATAAGCGAGAGGTCTGATGCTTTCAACTCTGTTGTCAACACCCTGAAGCCCAAAAGCCTACACGCTAAACCCCTGAACCCTATATAAACCCTAAACCCTAAACCCCTGAACCTTATATAAACCCTAAAACCCTAAGCCCCTGAACCCTAAACCCTAAAACCCTAAACCATAAAGCCCTAAACCCTAAAATCCTAAACCCTAAACCCTAAACCCCTGAACCCTAAACCCTAGACCCTAAAACCCTAAACCACGGTTGTTCGCCCCAGGCCGGCCAGAAAGAAGCAGAGTTCGTTCAGCACGTGGAGGCCAGGCGCTACTGCAGGGGCTTAAATAATTATCTATATACCATTTTGGGGGTTCCTTGTTCTAATTATTGTATAATCGAAGCGCTGGAAGCCCTGAGATGACACCCAAAGCCCTTGCGCCCTTGCCTAAGCTCTCCTGGCAAGATGACTACATGCCGGAAAGTTCCGGAAACCCACAGGCTCTACTAGATTCTCTAGATGACAATGTTACCTTTTTCTTGTTAAAATTCGGGTCCCTTTTTGGGTCTTTATTATAATACGGCACCTATTATTATTTAGGATACCCAAAAAGGGACCTTAGTTTTGACAACCACCCAGATAACAATGTTACATACTCTGGATCTCTCAAGTGTAGTTTCTTCTCGATCCGTCTGGTGCTCTCGTGCGCCAGGCGGCTGTGAACGAGCGCCCGTACAAGTACCACGCTGAGCACTTGGCATCTTCGGCAATGTTGATCGTTCATAACTATCTTCGAGCTACCAGCGAACCAGTGGAAACATCAGCATATCTGTCATCCTTCCGCTTTGGCTTAGCAGGGAGTTTACAGTTTTACTATGGTCACATGTCAGGATTTCTGCATTTTGAACGTGTTCCGCAAGCCTACAGACAACAGTGTCGGTCCTGTGTCAGATCTGGAAGATTCGGCAGTAAACTAAGCTCAATGCTTGCTTGATGACTCGAAATGCAACCACGTGGTATCTTCTGCGTCACTCCTCGCAAGCCAGATCTCGATGCTGCGCGATCTCAGCCTTCTAAAGGCTTCATCTGCGCCGTTGCCGCAGTCCCGGTGCATGCTACAGACCAGCATCATGCCCGAATTGCTGTTACCAGGAGAATCCTAGAGGCATCTTTGCATGACACCACGATAAGTTTCTTTTCAAGGAAGCATGTCCCCTGCACCCTAACCTAGACCCCTAAACCCTAAACCCCGGTTTAAACCGTAACCCTAAACCCCAGACCCTAGACCCGTAAACCCTAAACCCTCATAAGGCGAACGCATTTGATGCAACGACACTTCGAGTTGGCCGACTGTACGCCCAGCGCGTTGCCGACGGCCGAGATGGATACAGCTGTGGGGTTTCCTGTTAGGCCCTTATGAGAAGAATGGGTGTTTCTGTAGCTGCATTATATATATATATGTATATATATATATATACACACATACATACATACATACATACATACATACATATATATATATATATATATACAGAAAGCGTCACCCTCAGGGCCCGGTTTTGTCGTATTCGTAACGAACCGAATTTTAATATATACAGATGATGGTAAACGGGTAGGGAGGTAGGTAGCATGCCCATGCATGCATGATGCAAGTACGTATCTACGTATGTATGTATATATTATATATGTATGTATGTACCCCATAACCTTTCAATGAACCTACTCTAACTATTAGGGGTTCTCATATACTGCTGGTCCACCTTAGACACTCACGATCTCGGGCAATCCGTCTGCGGTTTTGATCTACTGCGGCTACTGCCAGGCTATTGTGGCTATCGTGGTTCTTGCTGCAGTCGTCTTTGCTCTAAGCAGCTTCCGTTTCCGGAGTAAGGTACTTCTCCCACGAAGCTCTTGACTCCTGCTGAATAGGTGTGCCTTGCCGACAGCCCTGGCCGGACATCCAGCGGAGGCGATTCGGAAATTACTAGGGGAATAGGTCGTGAGCTGAATAGCGTCTGTTCGGTTTTTTGTTCATTAGGTGCTTGGTTTAGCTTATGGTGTTGTTCAGTGCTTTTTGTTGACAGTACTACGATCTTCATGTTGGCATATACAGAGTGCCGCGAAATGAAGAATCTCGAGAAATTTGAGAGACAAAGGCAAAGCACAGTTATGGCGAGCAGGATGCCTACGTAATAAATCCGAGAGAAGCTGGCTGCAGCATAGAAGAACAGAGGGTGAAGAAAAGTGTAGCTGCTTACTCTCAGTAGCAATGCCTCGTAAATGCGGCACATGCAATTGCATTACAACGTTATGCAGTTTCTGAGTTTTCGAAAATAGGGGACCCTAATATAGTACCCTAAGTAGTAGGATCCTTATTTATGAGGACCCCGAAATAAGGTACCCCTAATTTTCGGAAACTCCCTTTTTGCTTGGTCCCTATCGACGGATGCTGTCGAGTGTTGCGCATGTTAGCATTGGGCATCAGCTTTGGGGGGGTGATTGCACCTTCCGTCTAACATAATATAGGGGCCTTAAAAAATTTACCAATATTTTTTCGGGGGTTCCTTATTATAAGTACAGTATCATGGTCCCCAAACCCTAAATTATTAAGGCCCCTATAGTAATCTGATGGGGCTTAGATCCGGAGTTCGGCTCGTCGACGTACTTTCGGCTTACATGTGCCCAGCTGAAGGTTTCTCGCTGAAGGCTTGGGGAATTGGATGTTCGCTTTTGGCGAAGTCCGACACAGACACTGCTCTCCTCTCCTATGCAGAAAGGTACATATTCGTTCCATGCACCTCGGAACTAGCACACTGACACTCCCGCGGATGAGCTCCATGAGAGTTCGGAAAGACATGCACCAGACATCCCCTTAGTTGGGCTTTGCCATGCGCAAAGCCCGGAAAGGGGCCCTTCAGCACCCCCCGAGAACAGTATCCTACCACTCAACTGTTGCAGGGTGACCAAGAGGAGATGGAGCACAAGATGTCCGGAGCTCTCCCAGGATCCGCGGTCGTAGGCTTTGGGCTTTCCGATCATGGTGCCTGTGAAAGCTTCTTTTCCCCAGCCTTGGTCCACATCCTAGATACGCAGGCTGTAGAGCGTAGGGTAGGATTTAGGGTTTAGGGTTTAGGGAACCCTAAACCCTAAACCCTGGGTTGAGGGATTTTTGGTTTGGGTCTCTAATCTCACATTCCGAGGCTGACCACCATGTCTCAGCTGCTCACAAAGCCCGGAGCGCTTGGGCCTTGTCGTCGGGTAGACGTGAAAGGCTCTTTAACCATAGCTTCGTCGTATGTCTGTTTGTTTCACATTGCTCTTTCCGAGAGCAGGACCCCATATTAACACAAAAACCAAGCATCCTGATCGCCTTCATCATCATCACCGCAAGTCGTGCAGTGATATGGTCTTGCTTTGATGATTTGCTGCCGGAGCGGTTTAGGGTTAGGGTTCAGGGTTTGGTCTAGGGCACCAGGAGGCGTGACGGTGTCCAGGGGTCCACTCACAGCGACAACAGGGACATTCAGAGCGATGTGTTGTGAACGTGATGGCTACTGCTGCTTGTGGCGAATTGTTTAGTGGTTGGAATAATTCGTACTGCAATCCCCTTAAAGTTCCAGGATACTTATACCTTAAGATACCCCAGACCCTTTTCTATCTTTTTAAAATAAGGCCCCCTAAAAGTTTTTTATATGGTATGATCGAAACCTTTATGCATCCCGCGGAGGAGCCCTATTCTCACTTCTACATTAAGGTCCCCATAGTGAACCCTTATTGTAGTCCTTTGTAATGACCCTTACACTGAACCCTGCTCCCATTTCTAAGGCCCCTAATATGTTGGCCCAAATATTCCCCTGTATTGTCTTGGGGGTTCCTTCATCTAACCATAGTAGAATCTACCCAGAAACCTTATAGTCGAATATACTCCGAAACCTTGTAGTAGAATATAGGGGTTAGGGCTTACGTTGAGGGGTTTAGGGGTCAGGGTTTAGGGGTTTAGGGCTTGGGGTTTAGGGCTTAGGGGGTTTAGGGATTAGGGGTTAGGGGTGTAAGGCTTTAAGGGTTTAAAGTTTACTTGGAGTGTCGGGGGACTTAGTAAGTGGTTATTTTAGGGACATATAGGTACCATAACCCCAATGAGGGTCCCCCTTAAAGTACTTATAAGTCCACTTACTACCTACTTACTAAGTCCCCCGACCCTCCAAGTAAGGGTCCATGTACCCATATAGAGATACATGAGCTCCAAAATGTAAAGTTTAGGGCTGCTAAGTCCCTAAAACCCTAAACCCTATACTACCCCTATAGAGCCCATTAAAGGAACCCTTAGAATCCCCTTTAAAGGAGCCCTTACTAAGCCCCTAAAGACCCTCCAAGTAGGGTTACGTGCCCGAGGTACAAGCTGCCTAAAGACGGCCGCATGTTTCGCGCGAAGGAGCAGCGGCAAAGGGAAGTGTGAGAGCTCTCTGTAGGATGTAGGCGTTTGGGGTTGCAGGGTTTTAGGATTTAGGGATTTAGGGTTACTGGGGGTTTTCGGGATTTATGCAAGACGTCTGCGGACCATTCAAGCGAGAAGCACGCCAAGATGCTTAGCAGGGCGACATACCATATTAAGTACAAATTCAATCATTGTGCCGTTTAGAGGTTTAGGGTTTGGGCAGATTCGGGTAGATGACTTATGATATGACAGATCTAGGTTCAGCGTTTGCAGCATCGAAGCCCAATAGTCTAATTGCCTACAAAATTCCTTGGGGCACCTTTATAGAACTATACGGGATTCTCCCCCAAACTCTTGTTTCGTTATTGAGACCCCCATCTTAGTTTGCAGTGTTGGTCTTGAGCTTCTCTCGTGGCTTGAGGGTTCCGGGTGTGGCCTTCTGGTCACGGGGACCAGGGTTCTTGGTTTGGTGGAGAGGTGAAGGGTGCATGAGACCCTGCTCCCATGCTGCACCCCACACCCTAAAGCCCTATCTTGGCAGGACGACTTTTGGTGGGAGCAGCTGAGGCTGCTTCGGGGCAGCGTGCCGGTTCAGTACTGTATCACTGTAGGTAGGGCTGAACTTGGGCGTCTGAACTGGCGTGGATTATACGGCTCCTTACCATACTTATAAGTAGTATGGTATGCCCCGAAACCCTATTCTATTCATGAAGCATAGCCCCCATGTTTCCCAAGCACCCTGGAGATAGCAGAGGTGTGCAGCAAGAGGCTGAAGCTGAAAGCCTTCACTGCAAGTGGCCCCACTTCCAGCAAGCCTTGGCTTTCAAAAATGCGGGGGAGCCGGGAGCTGTAGCTACAGAGCCATTTGAGCTCGCGGTTTATAGGATTTAGTTAGGGTTTGGGGTTTTGGGTCCAGGGGTAGTCATCCCGGCCAGAGGCAGCGACACTTTCGGCTCCGGCGTCGGGCAAAAGAAGCGGGGGTCACTGTGGTCGGCAGCCCAGCATGCCCCTCTGATGCTCTGTTTGCCGACAGAGCATCATCTTCAAACACATGTTGAGTACGAGGGTCTCCTGTAAGACTGTAAGCTGTAAGGCATCTATGCTAGGTAGCTGGTGTTGACAGGACTCCCCAAAACAAGAGACCCTTGCTTAGAGCAACATCTATCATCCCACACTTATCCGGTGTGCAGCCGTGGTTTAGGATTGCGAGTTTATGTTGTATGGGGATTCCTTGACCCTTGAACCCCGAACCCTAAACTCTAATCAACCATCGTGGCAAAGCATGGCCCTTTGTCCCATCGAATTTTCTGCGCTGTTTGGCGTGTGGCAAGAGGCCGAAGATCAGAATCAGGCTGCATAGAACAAGTGTGCGAAGACTGAGCGCATGGAGATCCCACATGGCAACTTGCTGTGACCTCTCTTCCCAGGCGCCTGCTCCCAAAAGCGCAGCTGGAGACGAGGACAAGTTCGCCAAACTTTGGGCCCCGGAATTTCGTATCGGCCGCACAGTGCCCAAAAATGATCCCATCTTTCTGGAGCCAAAGCCTTAAACCCCTGAACTTTAGGATTCTAGACGTAGCTCATAGGAATTAGCCATACTGCTTATTATTCTCGTAGTTCATATAAACATGTATAAATTTCTACCACATTATCAAGAAACGTCCTGAAGCGCATCTGGGACCTTCACCTTTGCAGGATGCGGATGAAGCCGCACCCGCCGTGATCCACGTGACTCGCCAGGCAGAGCGCTGCCCAGGTTTGGTTACCCACAGGCCCCATAGTAGTTCCTTCTTGGGACTACCTTATAGAATTCTAAATATGAGCCCGCAAAAGGAACTATCATGGGGCTTATGGGTTAGTTGGCACGTGGCATCTGCAGTTACCGCACGGTGCGCTTTTGGCATCTCGCGCAGCAGGAGTGCTTGCAGCTGGTACAAGGCTGCGCCAAGATGGCCCCAGCCTGAGCCTGTTTCCCTAGTAGTAGAGTAGGCAACCTTTAACCTTTTTTGGGTAGTATGGTCCCTATACAATCCCTATTTAACCAAAAAGGTTAACCTTTAGTTCCCCCATGATGCCCGACAAGTAGGGTTCACAGTTCGAAGGTGAAAGATTCACCCAGCCCTGAAGTGACCTGATGGGTCTGATCCCATGAGCTTCCACTCCTGACTTAAAGTGGAGTGCGCCGAAATGTTGAAAAGCATGTCAGGCAAATCTGTTCAGTTTCGATAATCTAATTGTGGGCACACCACACGGGGGCGGTCATCTTTTGGCGAATGTAGAGTAGTTCAGTCAAGACTGAACTTCCTTCAACCTAAACCTAAACCCTAAACGTATAGACGCTACACTCCTCAACACCAAAACCCCATAAACCCTACAAGCCTAATGACACCCATACTTCCCTACTCGACATCTCAACCCTAAATTAAAGCCGCAAATGCATAAACCTCTACAGGCCTACATCCCTACCCTACACCCCTCCACCCTTACCTCAATTCTCCCAAGACCAGGGCTGGCGCGACGAGTCGTTGCTCCAGGGAACGGCAGCCTGGCTCTGCGAGGGCCGGCGCAGCTCGGCTTGGTCTTGCAAAGAGGGTTTAGGGCTCTTTTTATCAAAATACTCAAAAAGGTCTTCGAATTTCAATCCCAAACAGGATCTTATCATGCGTATGTGTGTATGCATGTGTGTATGTGTGTGTATATATATATATATAGATAGATAGATAGATAGATAGATAGATATAGATATTTGCAAAGATGTACATATGTGTAAGTATACGCCTGTCAACACATGCGCATATATATATATATATATATATATATATATATACATGTATGGAACCTATTTGCATTTGCAAGCGTTCACTGGTATACGCAGCCGAAGGGCTTGCACAAGCTCTTGGCAGCATGCACGCGGTTAGGACTCAGCCTTCCCGGCGCGGAAATCTGCCCAACCCCACCGTGACAGGCCACCGACCCCCCAGGCCCAAAAATGCAACTGAGGTTCACAAAACTGCAATGTAGAATGTTACGGAGGTTACATGTATTGCAGTCATGCAGTGGTGTAGGCTGTGAGCGCATCTTCCTCACATGAATCTGATCGCAAGATCGCAAACAGTGACCGTACAAGCCAGACAAGATACCACCTGAACAGTTCCCAACCTCACTGTTGAGATAGGACTCCAACATGTCTGTGTTGAGCCGAAGCACCCTAAACCTCGCAACCCTCCAACTCTACACTCACCACCATGACCTTTGGTTTTTTTATATCATAGAGAAAGAGATCCCCAACCCTCTTCTTAGGGGGCCTGCAAAGAAATCCCACGAACATTATCACAAGAAGCTCATGCATCCTTTGAGACCCGACACCCCAAATCCGGCAGACAAGGACACTACGGACTCTTCGATAGTATGTTACGTAGACCCTAGACCATCCTACACTCCTAAACTCCAAACCTCCCATCAGCCCCGAAACCCTAAACACCAAGCCCAAAAGCACAGGCCATGCCGAACTTTCTCCTTCCGAGGCCCCGAGCCCGGTTTCCTGTTCCGAAAAAATGTCACAGGTCCTTTTTCTTGGAGTTAAGTTTCAGAGGATGCCCTAGGGCAGGAGGTTTAGGTTTTGGGGATTTAAGTTAGCTTATAGGATTCCAGAGGATATGAGGTTAAGGCTTTTTTGTCGGGCGTCTGAAACATAGGGGTTTCTTACATAGGGGACTTGAAGGATTTGCTATTCATTTAGCGGGAGCCACCTACTGATACTGCTTGGGCTTTGTTTGTATTGTTGGGCATCCATACCGGGAATTGTTTGGCCTTCCGGGCTGTTTCGGGACAGTGGATACTTGGAGGGTCGGGGGACTTAGTAACTGGTTATTTTATGGACTTATAAGTATCCGAACCCCAGTTAGGGTCCCTTTTAGGGTACTTATAAGTCTACTCTACTTACTAAGTCCCCCGACCCTCCAAGTATCGGAGCTTGCTGCTGTCTTCTTGACCGGAGTCCGCGAAAGCCTGAATCCTGTCCTAAATCCAAGTACAAGCCTGACGGAGAGACTCGCTCTCTGACCTCTTGCTGGCGGGAGAAGGGCGTTCTAAAAGCATATCCTAAGTGGACCCTGAACCCTAAACCCCAAAACCCTAAAAGTGCAAAACCTTGCTAAAACTCTAAGCACTAATATGCAAACCAAAGTCCTAAAGGCCATGCAGCAGAACCCAACAAGACCCGAAGACCCGGAACACCCAAACCTTGAACCCCAAGACACTAAAGTCTTGAACCCTAAAACCCTAAACTCGTAGGGCGTTCAAAAAAAGACCCTTAAACCCTAAACCCTAAATTCTAAAGCCCTCAAGCGGGCCACTGACAGGTTGCCTCCTTGCTGGGAGCCTTCTCAGAGCTTGGCTACTCCTCGCCGCTGCTACGTGCGGCCCTGGAGCATGACGGGGACTGAGCATCTGGTAAAACGGAGCCTAAACCCGGGACCCCTAAAGCCCTAAAGCTAAACCCCTACACCCCTAAACCCTGAACTCCAAACCCCTAGACCCTAAACCCCTAAACCCTAAAACCCTAAACCCCTAAACCCTAAACCCTCAGTCTGGGTCTGTGAGTTTGGGCAGGTTTTTGTTGGTTTCGGTGTGCAGGGACAGAGAGTGCAGGACTTCGAGAAGGCAGGTCTGATGGCATGAGCTTTGGAGGCTTTAGAGCATTTGTGGAGCGAAAGACATACCTACATATAGACATATGCATATTGTGTATGTATATATATGTATATACATATATATATATATATATTCATATTTATATTTATTTTTTATTTTTATTTTTATATTTATATTTATATTTATATTTATATTTATATGTGTCTATATGTGGAGAGAGAGAGAGAGAGAGAGAGAGAGAGAGAGAGAGAGAGAGAGAGACAGAGAGGGCTCAGAAAGGTTTGCGATGCCTGCATTGCTCGGGCCGCTTCTGAAAGTGCGGATCAATGTCAAGGCCTCCCTATTTACCAGAAGTTGGATCTGTAGCTATGTTAATGTCCTGGCACTCACAACGGTGGGACGAGTTCGAGAGTTGTGATGACGAAAACACTGAACACGATTGTCATGGAAACTAAAACAGTACAGCACGTACGACTGCAGCCAGAAGAGCGACTATGGGCAAGAGGATGATGGTGGTGGTGATGTTCATCAACATGACAACCATGATGAGGTTGAAAGCATGATCAGTATTACTAGCATTACTACTATTACTACCATAACTACTATGGTGTTATTCTGAAACAGTGTGATGAAGCCTGTTATGAGAAGTTCGAGCCCTGCGACCGTGCTCGTATCGACGACGATGACAGCGACTCGCTGATCTGTGTTTGATGCGAGCGTCGTTGCAGTATTCTCATTTTCACTATGACGAGGATGATGACGATGATTTTCTTTGTTGCTGTTATCAGCATTGTTGTTATTATGATTGTTATCGCTACTCCTGCATACTTTCAATATGAACATGTTCACTGTTATTGATACTGCTATTGTTGTCGTCGGTATTACCGGGTAGCGTGTCACTGAGAACGACGGGCAGAGATGTTCCAGCTCAGTTCGGATGCCGGTTCCCTTACCTCTCTCGCCAAGTGCCTGCATTCGAGTTTCTGTACTACAGACCCGGTGTGTCTGCGGTGGACCAATCCCGCATCTTGTCCACGTCCCAAAAACCATGCGTCAGCTTACTTTCGAAAAGATTTGGGAGTGTCAGAAATAGGGGACCCTAATATAGTACCCTAAATAGTATGATCCTTATTATGAGACCCCCCAAAATAAAGACCCCTGATTTGGGGAAACTCTCGTTTGGAACGCCTAAACTGGGCCTAAACCGCGCTCCAGACCCCTGCTTCTGAGGCTTTGCTTCGGGCGCGGGGCTTGGTGGTTTAGGGACCCAAAAAGCACACAAGCATAAGCATTTGAGGGGGATATCCCTACCTTTTTGGGCTTCTTTATAAGGGGGTTTATATGGGATATCCCTGTCCTCATGTTTGCTTATGTGCTTTTTGTTTGGGCCCTATGGTGGTTGGGCTACACGTGCTGTGCCAGAGCACCTGCCTGACCTGGGCAGGATTCAGAATCAGTTGCTTTTTCAATCCCTCCTAGTGCCATAATTCCTAGGATTTTAGAGGCATCGAATCATAGAAGCACCCGCAGCGACATTCCTAGCTCGCTGCGCAATAGTTACATGGTTGATGGTTCTGCCATGGGCAGCTCTTGTCGATATCCGGGTTCAGCAGTCACGCCGGTCAAGCCTAACGGCCAGAAGGAGGTTAATATCTTTGTGTCCATCTAAAGCCAGGCTCAGGCGATGCACTCAAGCATGGCCTCTATATCTCTTCGGACGTTTCCGCCTTGTAAAACGGCTCCTGAACATCCGAAACTTAGATTCCGCCGCAGAGAGTCAGACTCAGGTGGCTTCGGCTATACCACCTGCAAGCTGCACGGAAGCCGTGCAGGGTGCAGTGGATGCAGGTGCCGGTGGACTCAATTGTCAGTTTACGGGTTCGTTTCCCATCTACCCTGCCCGATCTCTTTCACGGAGTGGGACGGGACGTCACCCAGATAAGACCGACTGTTGTTGCTACATTTGACCCCGTACTCTTTTGCCATGTTAACGAACTCGCTCTTCTAATCGATGATGGCAGGAACATATGCTACGTGCAGCCACGTATCCTGAAAGTGCTCCTCACCCCGACAGCACCCGGCCATGAAGATCTCGATTCTCCTTCTGGCAGTCCCAGTGCTAGCCGAATCAGCAATCCGGGCCCCGGTGCAAACCGACCACGGCTGCTTCAGGAACAGCTACCCAACTTGCAAGACAGCATCTGCTTGCACCACCGGTTTCTCGCTGCACTGCGAGCTGTTTCATTATTCGAAGATTGTGAAGGTTGGTGGCAAATGGGAGCCTTCGACGAAGCACTGGACTGTTGCCAATGCCGAAGCCCGGGCACAGCGCCCAGAATTGCGACTCCGAGCGTGCAGTCGGCGGAGTGCTGCGGAGAAGTGCCCGACATCCACTTCTCAGGGGTTGCCAGGGCAGCAGGTCCCATCGTGCTGCGGCCGGAAAGCCAATTGCCCCCAGGGCTTTGCGCTTTCGGAGCCCTTGACGGTCTGTGGGCGTCGGGACTGCGACTTGAGCGAACTTCAGAGCTACACTTGGACAGAAGTCACCAATCCCTCAAGCAGTTGCTGGACCCGAGATCAAGGCGGCTGGTACTACAAGCCGGAAGCAGTGACATGCCAAACCTGCGTCTATGTCGGTGACACCACTGACACCACTACGGTTTCAAGCACATTCACGGCAACACTACGACGTTGACTGTGACTGTGCCTCCTGCAGCTGTTTGGGAGCCGGTCGGCGCCCCAGGCGAATCTGCTTGCCGTGGTCGCAACATCAACGACAACTTAGGTGTGTACTATACGGTGCACAGCAGCATGAGCATCCAGGAATGCAAGGATGTTTGTCCTCAGCACTACCCTAGGTGCAAAGGCATCGAGTACAGCAACAATCGATGTGAGATCTGGACTAGGCCCCAGGGCATTTACGTTTCAAAGCACCTCAGTGGTTTCACTTGTCTTCGCTTTGTAAGTTTGATCCCTGTGGATGGCGGGCCCGGGCGGGCCTGTCGGGGGACGTCGCCCACAGACGACTCGGCAGCGTACTACTCCCCAAAGGCTCCATGTACCCATATAGTAGGTACTTAGGCCTTAAAGTACCCATATAGTGACCCCTTTAAGGCCTAAGTACCTACTAGATGGGTACATGGAGCCTTAGGGTCCGTCTCAGCGGCCACACTGCTGGAAGACTGCAAGGCCCAGTGCTCCGCTTCAGTAATCAGTTTAGGGTTTAGGGTTTCGAATTCAGCCTGGGACGTTGCGAAATCTGGCAGCGGCCTATAGAAGCCGTAGCCCTTCGCTCCGGTTTCACATGTTTGGCATTCTCGCCCGCCCAGTCCATCCTGCCGTGAAGATGTCAAGAACTGGTGAACGACTAGGTTCGACGGCGCATCGGGGTCCCTAGACACAGTTATAGCGAGAGGATGAGGCATGCCTGTGGATGGGATGACGTGAAGGTGCACCTACTAAACGGTACCTCACTAAATGGTACCTCTACCTGATTCGGGAACCACATGCCTGGCCGTCAAATATAGATGCTTGGAGGTTGATGGTAGTTGTAAGTGGGGTTATGCGTCCCCTAATTTCTAGTACGGGCCACAACTATCGTCAGCCCACTTATAAACCCCACCCATAACTACCCTAAGCCCGATAGAACCCTTTAAAAGAACCCTACTTATCAACCCCACTTGTAACTGCCCATGAACATCCAAATAAACCTTAAACTTAAACCCTATACCCTTATAGAATCCCTATAGATCCCTTTAAAGGGACCCTTTAAGGCAACACTTATAACTGCCCATGAACATCCAAGTGGGGGCCAGCGGCCGGAGCTATTCTGTGGGCACACGACCGGACAGTTTATCTCGGGCCGGCTGCAGAGGATAATCCTTCATGGTAGATTCCAACAAGACGGAACTTCGTTCTCCTCTCGTCTCAAGGATTTTCCGCTAGAAGAAGTCAGCAATCCCTTCTTGCCCAGTCGTCAACCTTTTTGGAATCTGACCACATCGTTTCCGAATGTTTCTGCATTCCACCAGACCCTATCCTAACTAAAAGCCCTGAGCCCGCCTCGACGCTTCATCTTTCAACTTACTCCTCTGATTCAAGCGAGGCATGTCGGTGCGCAGCACTGCGGTGCGGTCGCTGCCGGATCCCCGGACACGAAGCCCTACACGGTCTTTAAATGTCGGTTTTTGTTGTCAGAGTAAGGGTGCAGAGATTAGAGGCTTTATTCTTGGGATCAGGGTGTGGGGCTGAATGATTAGGGTTCTTATTGTTGGGATTGGTTGGGGCTCGGTTAGGGTTTTTTTTGGCTTCATGATTCGGGGATTTACTGAGAGGGTTATCGTGTTTAGGGCTGTATGATTCGGGCGTTGATTGTATTGGCAACCCTTTCTGTGGGATGCGGCACATAGGGTTTGATTATTACGGTTTCGGGAGAGGCTTTAGGATTCATTTTGCAGTTTGGTGATTTAGGGGCATCGGTTTTGTATCCAGGTTCTATGGGGCTTCTCATAGGGGCTCTACACAGATTCCAGAAGGGTTTTGTAAGGGACCGTCCAGGGACGCGGCTCCGACAAAGAAAATCACAGTGTGTCCGCTCTAGCCCGACAGACGCCGACCCATTCTGAGTATCAATCTATGTAGCAATCCCAGAAAATTCCTACGCCGCGAAACTTGCAGACTCTTAGCGGAAGCCCACATGGGGGTTTCCGAAAACAGGGGACCCAATATAGCACCCTAAATGGTAGGATCAATACTACAAGGATCCCAAAACAAGGAATCCTCCGAAAACCTAAACCCTATGATACCCTTAAAGTAACCCTTACAGCAGCCCCTACTTTTCGGAAACTCTTAAACCTCTTTCTAGAACCCTTATAGATCCCTTTAAGGAATCCCTATGGATCCCTTTAACGGAACCCTAACCCCCCCCCCCCCCCCCCCCCCCCGCAATTTTTTCGGAAACTCCCCAGATGAGGCTGAAACGATGCACATCTCAGCTGCGTCAGCTCCCAGAGAAGGATGCCGACCTCCCAGATGGGAGATTCTGAAAATTAGGGGTACCTTAGGGGTACTATCAGGGTACTATGAGGGTTCTAGAAAGGGTTTAGGGATGGGAGATTCCGAAGATTAGGAAGACCTTATTGTGGGGTCCTTGTAGTAAGGGTCCTACTATTCAGGGCATCCTAAACCCTAAACCCTAAACCGTAAACCCTAAACCCTAAACCAAAAAAACCCTAAACCCTAAGCCGTAAACCCTAAACTGAAGCGAGCTGCGGGCGCTGCGAATAGCAGCAGCGAGCGTGCCGAAGCGTCAGTGAGGCTGGCTCCGGAGCTGGCGCGACAGGCGCAGCGGAGGAGCCCCAGCACTGGCTCAGGTGCTGGCGCATGCGACAGGCATGCTAGCCAATCATAATGAGATGACCCTAAACCTCCAACCTCGGAGGGCCCCATCCCTTGGCCCTGGCCTGGGCCTGCCTGGGCCTGGGCCTGGTGTGCTGGCCTGCCCTGCCCTGCCCTGCCCTGCCCTGCCCTGCCCTGCCCTGCCCTGGGCGGGTAGGGCGAGAGCGTTGAACCTAGGCGCACACCACAGCACACGTGGTGGTGTGCGCGGAGCATCGACACACCCTAAACCCTAAACCCTATTTTCGGAAACTCCCAGATGATCCCCAGAGACTCCAGGATCCTTTGCCTAAATTTGCCCTTTAAGGGCTTCTTAAAGGGGTCTTTAAAGGGATCTACAAGGGCTCTATTAGGAATATACCTTAAGCTATAGCAATAGTAGGATCCCTTATATGATTTGAGGGAAGATTCCTTAATTCGGGGATGTTGGAGTCTCTGGGTCACAGGGCACCATTGAGCATCCGTCTCGTCGGATTCCGACATCGTTATATAACCTTGATGAAACGAGGGCAGTGTACTGGCCAGGGGTCTACCGTCACCATGACCCTAAACCCTAAAACCCGAAAACCCTAAACCTAAAACCCCACCCTAACACCCTAAACCCTAAACCCCGAAAACCCTAAACCTTAAACCCCGAAAACCCTAAACCCTAAAACCCCACCCTAAACCCTAAAACCCGAAACCCTGAACCTTAAATCCGTAAACCTGGAGCTTCTTCTTGCGGAACGAAGATCTGGAAGCCCTGTGAGGCTGAAAAGCTTCGTGAACTCGCCATGGGCCTACCTGCAGCCTAGGGTTTAGGGGTTAAGGGCTTAGGTTTGAAGGTTCTGGTTTAGGTTTGATGTTTCGGGTTTAGCTCTTTAGGGTTAAGGGCTGTAGGGGTTTGGAGTTTAGGGGTTTAGCGTATATTGCCTAGGGTTTAGGGTACGTGCAATGTTCAGCGTGTAGGGGTATCCGGGATCTCCCCAAAGTAGTATAGGCAGTATAGGGCATTTTTGAGGCCCCTTGTCTCGTGGCTTTGGTCGATGCTCGCCGGATGCCTTGTTAGTCGTACGAGGCCATGGTAATAATCTGTCTGTCCGTCTGTATGTAGTTATTGGTGTATGAGATAGAGCGAGAGAAAAAGAGAAAGAGAGAGAGCGAGAGACAGACAGACAGCAACAGTTGGACAGATAGAAAGATACATAGACACATAGGTCGATAGACAGCTAGATAAACAGATACGTAGATAGATAAATCATGTTAGTTCGACAGACAGATAAACAGAAAGGTAGAAAGGTCGGTGGGCAATTCGCTAGATAGGTGGCTAGGTAGGTAGATCGATAGGCAGCCAGGCAGATGACCAGAAAGGGGGTCTTCAACAATAGAAGCCGCGCTCCTTTTCTAAACTCCCTCTATAGCTGGTACAGACGTTTTGGGTAGGATGCCACCGAGCCCTACTTCCCTAGTCAAGCCGGACGCCTTGAACTCAATTCTTTATGAACTGACGCCTATGATCAGCCCGAGGCCTCAAAGCATACTTCGTTAGCTCGTTTCGCCCCAGGTCCACAACTGCCAGTATTGAAACTTGGGGGGGGGGGTGTGCCGTAAGTCTTAAGTTATTAAGATTCCTAAAGAGGCCGGAATCATTACCAATAGCATTCTCAGGATTCCGTGTCACATTTATAAGAGAATGTACCCACAAACCTGTTCATCATTAAGGCCCCTGTTTTCCTCGAGTAGCCATCAGGCAAGCGCAATCCTCAAGGAGGCGGAGGAAGAAGTCTTGCACAGCCAGGCAACGGTAGATTCTTGGTTGCCTCGTCTCGGCGCCGGGGTTAGGGTTTAGAGTTTAGGGCGGTTTAGGGGTCAGGGGTTTAGGGTTTATCTCAACCCTGAAAAGCCTACCTTTTTGAGGACTTATATAAGGAATTCATAACCGGGAACCCTATTAAAAAGGTAGGCTATTCAGGGTGTAAGGTAGGGTTTAGGAGAGGGCTTTGGTGCTGTCAGCCGTGGGCCATTAGTCCTCCAAAGCTCCAAACCCAAGACCCTAAGAGCCCTTGGGCTCCGATGATCTCTGACCCTACAGCAGCTGTCCAAGATCCTGAATCCTTCACCCTTAACCCAAAACCCGAAACCCTGTGATTCTGGCAGACATTGAAAAAATTAAAAAGGAGAAAAAAAAACAATCCGAAAGCCAAGGCCCTTAAGCCTCAATCGTCCGCCCGACATCGTGAAACCTAAGCCCTCCACCGATGCCAGTCAGTAAACCTTAAATCGCCTAAGCCCGAAATCCTATGCCCAAACCGTAAACCTCCTAGGCCTTATTGTGAGTGATAGCAGCTGCTCTTATTGCTGCTTGCGACTATCGGGACTACCACTCTGATTATTGCTACTACCATCACAAACATTGGCATGATTACGTTGGCCATTGCTATTGTTAAAGCCACATTGTGATTGTTGGCATTCTTCCAACTCTTTTACTGGTGTTGTTGATTATCAACCCTGAACTCTTGTCAAAGTTTGGCAACATTTTGCATGTGTATGGGTACTTCAACCCGGCACGACATACAAATGTAGATTCCTAATACTATCCCAACCATGAGCCAACGAACCGGAGTCCCTCCACTTGAGGGCGCCATCCGGCTGCCACGCGCAGAGCCTTTGCGGCTTCCTCTCGACCTCCAGCTTTTCCGTGAGGCTCTGGGCTTGGGCCGCACTGTACTATAGGGGCCGAAATAATTGCCTTGACTATTTTGGTGTTTCCTTGATATGATTATAGTATTAGGATCCCCTATTTTCGGAAACTCCCAATTAATTGAATACACAGGGTTGAGGCTGCACTCTATGGCTTGGCCCTTAGGGCTTATGATGCAGTGGTAAGTGCAAGCAGGGTTCAGGGTGTAGGGTTTCGTCTTCAGAGCACAGAGCGTCAGGTTTGGGAACTTCGGGTACGAGGTTCGGAAGGCAATGAGCTTTAGGACTCAGAATCGAATGTTTACACCCTTTTCGAGGGTTCTGTTTCACAATAAACTAATTTTGAACGAGATATGACGCAGAGAGTGTTGAACCATGAAGACAACCCTAAACCCTTAACCCTATCTTAAACCCGAAGAGCTCTTCAGGCTTTGGGTCTGAGGGGTTCTGAGAGGCTGCATGGGTTAAGATCTTAGGGTCGCGGCTTCCAGACTCGATGGCTGTAGAAAGGTTTAAGTTTAGGGATCGTGTTTTTAGGGTTTAGGGTTTAGAAATCTGGGGTTTGTGGGGTTTAGGGATCCGGGGGTTTCGGGTTTAGGGCGGGTTTCTGATCAGTCCCTGCTCGAGATGATGGGCTTGTTCCACACTGTGTTTTATTCCTTCGAAGTATATGAAGGGACTAAGAGCCTTCCTGGTCCTACTCCTTGTGATGACAAGGCTTGGAGGCCGCCCCAAATTCCTGCACATCGCTACACCTACATTGTAGAAGCATCCGTTGTAACCCTGAAGGAGGCCATTTGTGAGATACTCCTCCTTGCACGTCCAGCATGCGCAGATGTGCGGAACTATTCTTCCGTTTTCCATCCTTGCTGGTCCTCCTCATGTCAGTCTTAAGCCCTAAGCTTGAATGCAAGCCATTGTGGTAAGGCCGTGGCAACACAGCTGGGTCCAACCGTGAGCTCCGGATGAAAAGATGTGCAGCCTTCGGGCTCATGTAGGAGTTTCCAAAAATTAGGGGTACCTTCTTTTGGGGTCCTTATAATAAGGATCCTACTATTTAGGGTACTATATTTGGGTCCCCTATTTTCGGAAACTCCCATGTAGGGGGTCTCCGGATCGGATTGCAGCTGCATGCTCCGACACATTGAAGCAGCAGCATGGTTGTGATTTTTTGCACGCTTCAGCTAGTTCATCATGCTTTGCGTGACAAGACTCGCTTTGCTGTTGTGGTTCGAAACCAGAGCCAAGAGAGAAGAATTGAGGAAATGAGCAAGTCCAAACCCTAAACCCGATATCCCAAAGCCTAAACCCTACAGCAACCAGTCATACGGTAATACGTGCATTGCCCTGGGAACAAGCGGGGTGCCAATGGAACGTCTAGCATAGAAGCCTAAGGATTGAACAAGAGTATTCCTAAGGGCGACAGCGCTAGTATCAGCATTTTGTGCATATGTACATATGTATATATATATATATATACATACATATACACACACACACACAGTGGTTCTTGTCAGTGCTGGTTGTTGAAAGTTTTTTGCGTAAGCCCCCCACTACACCGCAATTCCAGCCAGCCATGGCTCGTTCTAGCCGTCTGCCGTGGACGGTGGCGACAGTCACTGCATTGCAACGGCGGTTTAGGGGTTGGGGTTTGGCGTTTAGGGGTTTAGGGTTTGGGGTTGAGGGCTTAGGTTCTAAGGTTCTTAGGGCCGGCGGTCATTCAAGAGGGTTAATATAGCGGCCTAAACGATTATCAACAACGGCTCCTGCAATACTACCCAAAACTCAAAGCCGTATTCCAAGTAGAGGCCTTGCTATAGTATCCCATGCGCATGCGAGCATAAAAGCCAACATCGACACCTTGAGTCGTCGGAGACCCCCGGCAAGACAACGCCTATGCTCAAGAGTACGGATGTTTAGGCCTTTTGTGGAAGATCCCCAGTATAGTGCTTCGTTGGTCATGCACGATATGAGTATCCCGAGAGCCTCCTGCACCATGTCCTTGGAGAGTACTGAGGCCGCTATGCTCTAACTTTTAAACGCTGCACGGAAGTGCAATCGCCAGATTCCCCAACCTGCGACTACCTTGGAAACCCTGAGCTCTAGTCCCCACCTCGAAGAGACTCATGTGAATTTCTTCAGCCTTCTTCGCTCGAGGGGTCAGCGGCGTCTTCCTGACGTGCGACAGCGTAGTGCCTGCCATCCTGCGCGCCCTAGAAACGTGAACCGTTCAAAGCTCACATGGGTGGTTGTCAAAATTAGTGTCCCTTTTTGGGTCCTTATTATAAGACGGTACCTATTATTTAGGGTACCCACCCAAAAAGGGGACCCTAATTTTGACAACTACCCAGATAAGCCCAAAACTTGCAGAAGCCTTTGACTGGACCAAGGCAAGCCTCATCTTACCTTTGGTTAGTAGGGAATGGAAGACTGGCAGTAGTAGTAGTAGTAGTAGTAGTAGTAGTAGTAGTAGTAGTAGCAGTAGTAGTAGTAGTAGTAGTAGTATCAGTAGTAGTAGCAGTAGTAGTAGTAGTAGCAGTAGCAGTAGTAGTAGTAGTAGTAGTAGTAGTAGTAGCAGTAGTAGTAGTAGTAGTAGCAGTAGTAGTAGTAGTTGTAGTAGCAGTAGTAGTAGCAGTAGTAGTAGTAGTAGTAGTAGTAGTAGTAGTAGTAGCAGTAGTAGTAGTAGTAGTAGCAGTAGTAGTAGTAGTAGTAGTAGCAGCAGTAGTAGTAGTAGTAGTAGTAGCAGTAGTAGTAGTAGTAGTAGTAGTAGTAGTAGCAGTAGTAGTAGTAGTAGCAGCAGTAGTAGTAGTAGTAGTAGTAGTAGTAGTAGTAGTAGCAGTAGTAGTAGTAGTAGTAGTAGTAGTAGCAGTAGTAGTAGTAGTAGTCGTCGTAGTTATAATTGTACCCCTTCCTCCATTCCCTATTAACCCAAGGCAAGCCTCATACAGACGACGGCCGAGCCCTTGCTTCATGCTGGGATCTTTGAGGCTTACCCAGGCCACGGGGGCTTCGAGCCGTAGGATGTTTTTGTTGGGGTGGTCCGGCTCATCGTCAGGCTTGAAGGGGATGTGAGATTGGGGCCTAAGAAGAGAATCACCAAGCTTGTTCCGGAGGGCTCCTCCATAAAAGCGTGTTCCAGAACCTCACTCTAAGTATCGAGGCCCCTGCATTAGATTGGATTCTAAGATTCAGGACTGGATGTATTCCTTGGTGTTCCGTAGCACAGAACATGTTCATAGACTAAAGACAAGCTTGCAGATTTGTGAGGCGCAATCGTTTCGTCGTCTGCTTTTTTGCCAGCCTGAGGCAGAGTAGCATTGAGAGCCGAGGATCATTGCTTTTGAACTTGTGTTTTAGATGTCTCACAACCTCTTATCGTGAGTCTCGTTGTCTGCGACTGAGCACGTGGACACGGGCTATATCCAAAAAACGCCCTGAAGAGTTTGAACTGCGCTTGTCCTGGGAATTTCCCAGCAGGCTATGGCGGCAGCCTCTCTGTGGAGGGCTCTGTGAACATCTCAGCCGTCAGCTCTGGCATTCAAGTCCAGGCCCCAGAGTTCGGTCGACTTGAAGGGCGTGGCCAATCTAGGCTATAGCCTCCTTAGGACTTGTGTTTTTGTTTATATAAAACCCACGAGAATATTCAAGATATGTTGTTATTATGATTCTAAGGGTGGGGTATAGTAGGGGCCTTAATAGAGGCAAGAACGAGGAAAAGTTATGGTATAGTAATAATGTTCATACTAATCATTAGAATTATCCGAATGGGGTTCCGGTTAGGGGTTCCTTTTCATTTCCTTTGAAGGTACTTTGGGCTGGTTTACTACGAGGGCTTAATCAAAGGGGCTTTTCCAGTTAGATAGCATTGTGGGGTATTGAATATTCTTGTATGATCTTGTATGCCTGTACTGAAGGACCTGTGAGGAATAATCGTCCTAGTTGTGCAGGCACCTATATATTGGTTGCACGACAGTACGCATGCAACGACATCGAAGCAAGTCGCCTGACCTAACATGTCTGTAGTCTCTGCACCATCCAAGCCAAGGTTGTTTCATACGCCTTAGGCGGCTTGGATGCTGAATGCGGCTCGCGCTTCTTGGCCATTGCGACGTCAGCAAACCGTCCATACTGTTGAGGGAGCAAATCCTGCACCAGTTCAAGCAGTCAGAGAGGGAGAGCACCTGTGCAATATTCATTTCCGGTCCCGAGAGGGGGCGCGGGCTCGACTAACAGTCCACTGCATGGCCATGGTATGTTGCTGTCCGTTTGAAAGAGGGTGCGTGCTCGTGGTCATCTGCGATGTCATGGTTCAGCATCTGTGTGCTTGCGTGTGTTCTTGAAGCACGGGAGGGCATCGCGAGAGTCACCACGGAAAGCTGGCTGCCTCAACCTAAACCCTAAACCCTAAACCCTTGGCGAAGTGGAGAAAGAGTCATTGCACTTTAAAAAAAGACCTTAAACCTTAAACGGAGCAGTTGATGACACTGCGCCTCTAAACCCGAAGCGCCCGAGGTAACCTTTCGCAAGTGCCGAATGCTTGCGGAGTGCATGCAGCCCGGACGGATGCGAATATAGCGGCATTAAAAGTTGGAATAGGGTTTTGGGGTCCATTGTACCATATTTCTAATAACGAGCCCTCAAAATAGTGTAGGTAATTAATAAGGCCCCTATACTATGGAGGAGGGTGGTTTGGAGTTGCCGAGTTTTGGGTTGTCGGGCTTCTGCCAGGCGCGACCACTCTTACATTGCATTTCCCTGTTTTGGAGGCCCATCGTATAACGGTAGCGAGGATGCCCAGTAGTACCCTTATTCCTTTTTGTGTAGTCCTAGGTTCCTTATAAAGTTGCCCAATACCAAAAAGAGAGGCCTTTTTATTCTTAGGTTACTGGGTATCCTAGTTTGGAGGCCCATCGTAGAACCGTAGGAGAAAGTAGCAGCAGGCCAAGAGCCCACAAGGCCCTAAGGCGTGTACCCAGGGGCCCCAGAGTAGTTCCTTTTTGGGATTACCTAATAAGATTCTTTATACGAACCCCAAAAAGGAACTACTTCGGGGCCTTCGGGTAGGGATAAGCTGAAAAGGCACAGTCCTCGTGAACAAAACTAGCTAGCGTTTTGTGAGAACAAGGACAGCGCATGGAAACATAGAACTTGGATGCATGAGTAGCACAGGGAACGATACCTGTAGTACTGCCAGTGTCAGTATGCCAGTTTTTAAAACTGCTAGGCAAGCTTCGAGGATTTTGACACGTGAGTCGCGACACCCCCTTGACCTCCTAAAGACACGCGCCCCTCAGTCAGAAGCCCCTAAATAAACCATAAGTAAGCCCGAGGTTACTAAGTACGCAAGCAGGCATCGCTCATCCTTGCCAACCGCCATTCGCAAACACAGCTAGGTTAAGCCTTAGACCCAACTTGAAACCACAAGGCCCAGACCTCAACCCTGTAAGCCCTAAACCTAAACCACAAGGGCCTCTAGGTCCAAAACGCCAATGCCTAGACATTAATTATACCCGACACCGCCCTACCTTTAGTTCCCGAACTGTAACCTATGTCTTACAAACCCTACTGGTGGCTCGTAAACCCAAGACCCTAGATATCACCCGATACCGCCCTACCTTTAGTTCCCGAACTGTAACCTATGTCTTACAAACCCTACTGGTGGCTCGTAAACCCAAGACCCTAGATATCACCCGATACCGCCCTACCTTTAGTTCCCGAACTGTAACCTATGTCTTACAAACCCTACTGGTGGCTCGTAAACCCAAGACCCTAGATATCACCCGATACCGCCCTACCTTTAGTTCCCGAACTGTAACCTATGTCTTACAAACCCTACTGGTGGCTCGTAAACCCAAGACCCTAGATATCACCCCCAGGTGCATGAAGGCACCTCCTGCTCCAGCGCAGGAGGCCCTGCACAGATTCGTTTCCACTGCTTTGAGTTTTAGAGCAGGGTTGCGCTAAAAAATCTAAACCCGCAAACCCCGAACCCCTTGAGGCACTGGGTTGGAAGGATTAGGCTCACAGAAGCAGAGTTTCCAGCTTCTGCTATTACTGTGGCGGTGTTTTGCGATGTCCAACGCCATCGAGTGCTTGATGCTAGTTCAAGTGCCCTCACTTTTGCGGTCCTGCGACCGCACTGACTCACCCAGAGTTTAAGCAGCACGGAAAGTTAATCGAATCAGCAGGCTGCTTGCGTTAAAGCTTTTCGAGAGTGCGTTCATCAGATGGGAATGTGCGAAACCTCGGTTTGAGTAGCTCGACGCTGGCATACTCTCGGGCAAAAAGTTGTCGTGTTGAGTGAGAACTGAGCCTTGCAAGCTTCAGCACGACTCTTGGTTCTAGAAGCATGTTATGTCGCACCCAAACCCCTAAACCCCAAACCATCCAAACCCTTGCACCCTAAACCCATAAACCCCTGAACTCTGGTATTCTTCGGGCTCCTACGAATCTTCGGCTTTCCTGCCTTCCTCCCCAGCTGCACAGGACACTTCTGGAATTCGTCCTCGTTGACTGCCGATCCTTGGGCTGTTGCTAGGTCCTTGTTAAGGAGATTAGTTTAAGTTACCATGTTATTTACTATAGGTACCTATCGTGGGAATTGAAATTTAGTTTGAGTTATTTAACATGTTTTTACTATATGTACCTATTAGGGAAATTGAAGTGAAATCCCTTAGCAGTAGCAAGAACCCAGGTTGGTCCCGTTTACAACGCCTCTGTGGATGGCTCGGCCGCTGGCACAGAGAGTCTTGACGCAAATAATAGGGACGGCTCGTTGTGATTGATGATCTCTTGATTGTTATTGTTGTCGTTTTGACGGGAAAGAAGCACTAAGAAGAACTAAGCAGAGTCTGATGGTGAGTGACGATGACGATCACGACGATGATCATCAGGCAAGAACGGTCTACACTATCCTTCTTGGAGCTGCAACCACCGACATGTCATGGGACTGAGCGTGTACAGCGACACCAATGCAAAGGAGTGTTGCGTCTGTTGCACTGCTGCTCTCGTGATGGCTGGCATAGGGCTGCGCGAAGTATGCATTTCGGGTCCCACGCATCACATTTTAAGAGGCATCGGCAAGCAACCTGCATCTTTGTGAAGGAGTCATGCTTCTTGTTTCATGGTCGCTATTGCCCTATGAACTGTTCTTAGTGCTGTTGTTGCTCATGGCGCTAGCGGTGCTGGTGGTGTTGTTGTTGCTGTCGTTGTTGCGGTTGTTGGGGTTGTTGTGGTTCGTTGCGGTTCGTTGTGGTTCCTTGTGATCCCTTGTGATCCCTTGTGGTTCCTTGTGGTTCGTTGTGGTTCGTTGTGGTTGTTGTGCTTGTGGGTTGTTGGTTGTTGTTCTGGTGGTGGCGGCGGTGGCAGTGGCGGGGCCGGGGATGCAGGGGCGGTGGCCGTGGTGGTGCTGGTGCTGATGCTGGTGCCGGTGATGGTGCCTTCGTGGTCAGGATTGCTCTTGGCTAGACAACATGACTGTAACAGGCAGTCATCATGCGAGGCATGGGGGCTTTTAGTTTCAATCTTAATGAGACCAGGCGGTCACAGTGACGCTTCCGACGATGACTTGTCATACATAAGCAGCTCGCCCAGAAGGATGGCTACGAGACGTGATCGCTATCACGCCGTTCTTTACCAAAGCAATGAGTGCACGCACGACATTGACCGTCATTCGGGGGATAATCTGAAGATCACGACTACGAAAGTGCTGACGGCGACAGCTAGACATTTGAATGAGAGGATCGGTCACGAAATTGCAGTACACTGCATGCAAGGTCAATTACAACTGGCTTCTCTTTGGGCAGCCTCCGTGACAAGGCAGCCCGGCTCGTTGGATTCTGTTTCAGCCCGTGACGTCGGGAATCCCCAATCTTGCTGCTTTGCTCCCTGCTGCAATGGAGTCTGAGCTCAGGCACAACTGTCCGTGCCACAAGGCTCCTATGTCTGGAGTCTAGTGGTATTGAACCCTGTAGCCCAATTAGCCAGAAAGCATGTGCTTTATCCGGCGTGTTGCATCGATCCCTGACTTGATTTTCAGGTTATGGTTGTTCATGATTCCTCGGGTGGGCGCGTGGCCTGCGCGACGTTCCAAACGCACCACGACGGGGGCTGCTACTCTGAAGAGGTGCGCCGCATATTAAAACTTATGATGTTCACGATGGAGATGACGTTTGTAGCGGTGGTGCTGATGACGATGATGCTGGTGATGATGCAGTTGTCGATGGTGATGATGATGATGCTGCTGTTGTTGATGATGATGACGATGCAGTGTGTGGTGATGACGAGTAGTGTGCCGGGCTGGCACTCAACCGTTCATCTCATCATCTTCATGTCTTGCTCAACTTTGTAATCGTCGGCATCGGCCTTGCCAGCATCAGCATCGCGATGATCACGTTTGGCAGCGTTACAATCATCAACTGCCTGCTGGCATTTGCCTCATCGTGGTGTGCGTCAGCTTCATGGCCGGATCCTCATCGTCATCCTCACTTTCATCGCCATCATCATCATCTTCCTCCTCATCATCATCACTTTCATCACCATCATCATCATGAGCATTGCCTCCTCACCGTAGTAGTTTTTGCAACCAAAGATTTGCATGTACAGTCTTCCTGTAGCTTCTTCAGAGTTCAGAGGCTCTATCTAGGCTATTCGTACTCAAATCTCTAGCCCGACTGGCACCGCCGCCGTTCCCTTTAGAGTAGGCACACTCGGCAGCTCTGTCTTGTGCACTCTCAGCCACCTCACGAGCGTTGCAGGAGTGGCGGCGTCAAGCGTGGCTGAACTTCTCGGGGGTCTTCGAGACTTTCGGCAGATGTTAGGATTTTTTGTTTCAGGTTCTGTGTGTGGTAGTGGCAGCAGTCGTATCAGCAGCAGTCGCAGCAAGACTAGCAGCAGCTGTAGCAGCGTGGTAACAGTAGTAGCAGTCGCAGTAGCGGAAGTGGCTTGTAGTAGCAGTAGTAGTAGTAGCAGCAGTAGTAGTAGTGGTGGTAGTAGTAGTGTTAGTATAAGTAGTAGTACAAGTAGTAGTATAAGTAGTAGTATAAGTAGTAGTATAAGTAGTAGTAGTAGTAGTAGTAGTCGTCGTCGTCGTCGTCGTCGTAGTAGTAATAGTAGTGGTGGTGGTAGCAGTAGTAGCAGCAGAAGTAGTAGTAGCAGTGGCAGTGGCAGTGGCAGTGGCAGTGGCAGTGGCAGTGGCAGTGGCAGTGGCAGTGGCAGTGGCAGTGGCAGTGGCATTGGCAGTGGCAGTGGCAGTGGCAGTGGCAGTGGCAGTGGCAGTGGCAGTGGCAGTGGCAGTAGCAGTAGCAGTAGCAGTAGCAGCAGCAGCAGCAGGAGCAGGAGCAGGAGCAGGAGCAGGAGCAGGAGCAGTAGGCGTAGTAGTAGTAGTAGTAGTAGTAGTAGTAGTAGTAGTAGTAGTAGTAGTAGTAGTAGTAGTAGTAGTAGTCGTCGTCGTCGTAGTCGTAGTCGTAGTAGTAGTAGTAGTAGTCGAAGTAGTAGTAGTAGTAGTAGTAGTAGTAGTAGTAGTAGTAGTAGTAGTAGTAGCAGGAAGTGGCAGTGGTAGTGGTAGTAGTTGTTGTTGTTCTCTCCGTAGCAGTAGCAGAAGCAGCAGGAGTAGCGGTAGCTGGAGGAGCAGGAGCAGTAGCAGCAGCAGCAGCAGCAGGAGCAGCAGCAGCAGGAGTAGTAGGCGCAGTAGTCGTAGCATTGATCGTACTACTACTACTACTACTACTACTACTACTACTACTACTACTACTACTACTACTACTACTACTACTACTACTACTCTACTACTACTACTACTACTACTACTACTACTACTACTACTACTACTACTACTACTACTACTACTACTACTACTACTACTACTACTACTACTACTACTACTACTACTACTACTACTACTACTACTACTACTACTACTACTACTACTACTACTACTACTACTACTACTACTACTACTACTACTACTACTACTACTACTACTACTACTACTACTACTACTACTACTACTACTACTACTACTACTACTACTACTACTACTACTACTACTACTACTACTACTACTACTACTACTACTACTACTACTACTACTACTACTACTACTACTAGACTACTGCTACTACTGCTACTACTGCGACTACTACTACTACTACTACTACTACTACTACTACTGCTACTACTACTATACTAACTACTACTACTACTACTACTACTACTACTACTACTACTACTACTACTACTACTACTACTACTACTTCTACTACTACTACTACTACTACTACTACTACTACTACTACTACTGCTCCTACTCCTACTCCTACTGCTACTGCGACGGCTACGGCTACTGCTACTGCTACTGCTACCACGACGTCTACTTGCGCAATGGCGGGCTTCTCTTTGATACTTACAGCTCTGGTTCCGGTAGGGTTGTACCCAGTCGGAACGTTGCTGTTTACTGCTGCTACTTCTTGTTCTACTGCTGCTAGGAATACCTGTTGAATTCCACTCTGTTGCTAGCGGCATCATCAATTCCTTAGCCTTAGCCGTAATCCCAAAGCGCTGAACCCTACAAGAGGGTCCAGAAAAATTGAAAACAAGCCAATCGCGAACTCTCGTCCCTAAAACCTAAACTCAAAGCAGCCTGGTGCTTTCGGGGACAGGCGATGTGGGCCGAGCGCTGTTTGCACCTCCGGGCATGAGAGATGCCAGGACGGCTTTAGGGCTTAAGCTTTAAGAGTTTCGAGATTGAGGGCTTGTTAGGGTTTGCAGTTCAGGGTGTTTCTGTTTGGGGGTCAGGTGGTTTTGGGATTTAGACTTTAGGCGGTTTAGGGTTTTGGGGAGTAGGGATTTTGTGGCTTGGGGTGTAGTTGGGGTTCAGAACAGGGGCTTGGGGCTTAGGCGTGTACGTTTTTTTGGGTGTAAGGGTGTTTTGCTTTAGGGGTTTGGGGGTTTCTAGGGTTTAGAGTTCGCGGCATAAAGATAGGATAGGGTTCTGATCATTAAGGCTTCCCACCTTTGGGCCTTGCAACCTGAAACTTCAAGTTGTGAAGGGACAAAGATGATGCAGACAAGCCAACATCAAAATGGCAAGTTCCATTTGTAAGCACACGGTTGTGAAGCTTCATTCTTGAGTCTCATGGGCTGCTGCAGCGTATAATTTGGACCTGACTACACAAAGAAGTGATGTTATCTCCCCGTGTAATCCAAGTCCACCTGCAATAATCAACTCCTCCAAACTTGTCCCTCGTATTTTAGCTATTGCACTGAGTCGCAGGCAATGAGATGTCGAGGGCAGATTTCGGGGTGTTTGGATTGGGGCCTCACGGAATGCCGAGCAAGCCAAAGGTTGTTCGGGGAGGATTTTGGTCGAAGGGGTTTACACTTTAAACGCATCAGTGACACCAGAAGCACCTCCACCACACAGCTTGGAGTCTTCAACGCCGCAAGGGAGTTTCCGAAAATGCGGGACCCTAACATAGTACCCTAAATAGTAGAATCCTTGTTATAAGGACTCCAAAGCAAGGTCCCCCGAATTTTAGGAAACTCCCACAAACGAGAAATCCTGCGGCCATCATCCCAGCTGCCTACGCCCAAAGCCCTGCAGTTCGCATCAGGATGCCTGTTCAGCGGATGTACAGTGTGAACAGTTTCCGCTGAGACTTTGCGACTGAACTGAATGGGTCCTGTCTGTTGAACCGACTATGGCTGCGGCTGAATGTGTTATCGCTGTCTTCTGTCGTCATTACTATCATCATTGTAGCAGCATCGTCCCACCACGAACATCACTGTCTGTATCATCATCCTCATCGGCATTGTCACCATCATCATCCTCATCGCCATCGTCATGATTGTCTTCATCATCAGCAACAATAACAGCATCATCACCATCTCGATCCATCACTCTCACCACCATGACCACCATCGTCGTCGTCATCATCATTGTCGTCGTTGTCGTCGTCGGCAGCACCCTTGTCTCAAGGGCTTCCGGCTTGAATTTCGCACGCCTCATCTCAATGCAGTTGATTGGTGGATGCACTGATGAGTTGCAGGCCCAAGGCAGTGAGAGAATGCGAGTTTTGCTCAAAGTTTGGCCCCGAAGCCCTCAGCCGCAACCCCCAAGAAATGCTACCGAAGTTTCCTTCAAGTCAGACTCATAATGCGGAGACTCGAAGGCCAACACCTGCGGCTTGAGGTCATTCTGGCCATTATATAGGAGCCTCAAGAATTACCTATACTATTTTGGGGGTTCCTTTTTTTACTAGTAGAGTGGGCCCCACAATCGTATTGATATTATTCAGGCCCCGATATTAGCCGTTTTGCAGCAGCTCACTCTTCCCTCCTCCATGTTGATGAGTTTGGACCAACCCTAAATCCAAAGTTGAACTCAAAACCTTCGACTTCTAAGGGACCAACCCTAAATCCAACTTTGAACTCAACAACTTCGACTTCTAAGGCCTCAAAGCCCCTGTAGTTTTCGAGACTCAGGCAGCAGCGACACTGCTCAGTGCGTTCACAAGCCGCTTTTCGGCTCCTTGGTTTATTGTGATTTGCTGTTCCGGGGTTTGCGGATTCTAAACTTAAACTAAGTCGAATGTAGTTACTCGTCCCTTGTCGCTTGTAGTAGCCGTTGCCGTGCAGGATTTCCGCCCGGTCAATCCTAACTTCCAGGCCATCCACAGGCCAAGCACCTTGAAACATACCATACCTTAAATAATACCAAGGCCTCGAACAACCCTAAAAAGCCCTGAAAGCCTGTGCAACCCCAAAAGCCATTGAAGCCCTGTAGAGGGCCTTAGAGGCCTAAAGCAGCATTAGAATGCCTTCAGGCCATACTGTCAACCTTAAGTTACTAAGGCCTCAAAATTGCAGTAGTCCCAATCCCAAACCCCAGAAGCCTTTATTATACTTGGGATCCAAGAATAAATTGAGGTCCCTACATGGAAATACTTTATTACGCAGGTCTACCGCAAACCCCAAACAGGAAAGCAGTAAACCCTGAAACCCTAGACATTTATAAGCCCCAGGCCATCCTATCGGAGCTGATCTTGGCGCAGCGTTCCTTTTCTTCCTCATTAGTGGCCCCTGCGTCTGCAAATATCTTGAGTTTTCAGTTGACGATAAGACTTAGTGTAAAGGATACTACGCAGGCTAGTATATGGATTCTGCAGGGGTTTAGGGTATACTACCAGGGTTAATCTTAGGGATCCTGGTGTAAAACAAGGTAAACGGTTCGACAATTCCTGGTTTTGCAAGGAGCTGCGAGGGATACGATAAGGGTCACTATAATGTATGCTATACCGGTACAAGGGGCTTTAACTAGAATGGGTTTGTGGGGTATTGCATGCATATGTATGTATGTATGTATGTATGTATGTATGTATGTATGTATGTATATATACACGAATATTTATGTAAACGTCACCATAAATATCTATATATATATATATACATGTTATACATACATACATACATACATACATATATATATATATATATATAAATATATGCGCAAATGTAAACTTCACTGGAAAGGGACTATAAGACTATCAGAATATCATTACCAGTTATTCAGACCTCTAAATCAGGATTGGTTGGGCCAACAAGGCTGCTCCATGAGGATGATGTTCTAACAAGTTTTGGATAAGGGTTCCATGCAGGTTGCATAGAAGGTCTCTGTGATGAAGGTGCTACAAGAGAGTTGTAGATACAGGTGTCCGAACAAAGTGCTTCGGGTCTTGGGTTTCAGGGTGTGGGGTTTCGGGGTTTAAGGGTTTCAGGGAAAAGGGTTCTGCATGCACAGCCCCTTTTAAGAGAATCTACTCCAAGGGCTGGTTTTGGAAACTCGTTAGTCTTTTTTTGAAGGAATGATTTGTGGCGCAGCCGCATGAAATTGCGAAACCTCAGAAGCCTTTACTAAACATGAAATGGCGCCAACCCTCTAGGGACCGAACTAGTCCTTCTTTTGCTGAGGCCTTGCCCTAAGCGCCGGGATTGGCGGGGGCGGCCTGTATGTGCCGCTGCTCATGATCATCCTCGGCCACATAGCTAAAGTAGTGGATGAGACAAAGAGTTGAACTTCGCGATTCAAGGCATTCAGGGTGGACGGGCAAACGGGAGAGATAATTAGAACACTACTTGTAGCTATTGCCTTGTGAATATAACTTAACTTAAACATTTGAGTCAAGCGGTTGCCTACTCGTATGCGTTGCTGCACTTCAACATCGGAGACTTTATTTTCATACGTTGGCAATGGCACGGAACAGAAGATTGGCAGAAGGATCAGGGATGGGACGAACAAAAGCAACAACACCAAGCATAAGGCACGGCAGAACCAGTCAGCATCACAGTTGCGCCAAGACGACGGCCGATGACGAACACAAACTGCTAGAACGATTCTGATGAATGCATCTCCTCTGCTGAAAACAATGCGTGATGTGTTCTTGTTCAAGCTTCCTTCCATGTTGCTCTCCAGGTCAGCAGAGTGCACTCTTTGTCTCGAAGCAACCCTCCTGCCAGGTGGAGTCCGAACATCTCATTCCTCCTGTGTTGCAAGCTTCTTACTGTCTAAGTCCGAGGTCTCCCGGAGCTGAGCCCTTTACCTGAAACCCGCCAATGAGTGAGCTAGCTCGCTGCAGCTGTCGATAGGTCCCCACTGCTCTGAGACGAGGCTTTCAGGTGCATGAAGCCACGGCGATCTCGCAGCCTTGCTTGGCAGGAGGTACGCATGAATCCTAAATCTGCAATGTAGAAGACGATGACTTCTTGGGTGCGATCCCACTGCAAAGTTGCAAGACCTGCTTTGCTAGCCCGGCTAACTCCCCCTCAGCCCACGTGGTTATGCTCTGGGAGGTGCTGCAAGCGCTTTGATCTACAATCTCCGCCAGCGGCATCCATCCGGGCTCAAGCCCATGATCGACTACGACCTCGTGACACTTGGGCTGCAAGCTGCATTGCTCGCTTTCATCTTCTGGGCTTTGATTTGGAATTTTTCCTACCAATACTAGTGCATGTATGCTACCGCTTGTATATCTCGGAAACCGTTGACAACACATCTTCAGTTTTCTTCACATGCCTGAAACTTTGAACGCACGCTTGCCATTCAAGTGACACGCAGTGAGCTACAACAAGGCTTTGAAGGGCGGCAGCCGATTCGACTTCAACGGGTTATATGACTTGTGGCCATGGGGTTTGAATGCGATGGACAGAGATGGCAATCTTCTTGAACCTCTATGATGCTGTTTGAAAACTAGTGCCGGTGCATTTCCTGAATGCAGTGTTCGCCCATCGGCGGGCCAAACTACGAGTTCGCGGCATGTTCCCACATTGTCATGCAAGTGAGCGAACATAAGGCATCACGGGCGGGGGAAAGCGTTATGGGCCTGCCAAAAGTTACGTGCCTGTCAACAGCCGTCTATTGCGCACGCCCGTGTCAAAGAAAGTGGAATAATTGTAGTATATTATCCCCTTCTTGTCCCTCATATGACCATAGTGCACTATCCCCTTATGCTCCCTCAAATAATCACACTAGCATAGTCTCCCCGTATAGGCTTCTTCCAGAACCCGAAAGCGCGGTCCGGCTTTCCTTTGTTGTGCTGATAGCAGATTTGGGTCTGAAACGACAAGGCATTTGAATACAGCTTACTTGGAGGTTCATGGGTAGTTATAAGTGGGGTTATAAGTAGGATAACCATAACTATGACTATAACCCATAATATTAAGTTAGGGACTTATAACCCCACTTATTCCTACCCTTGAACCCTATAATCCTATGATACCCGAAACCCTAAACCCTGTAGAACCCTTGAAGGAACCCCACTTAAAACTACCAATGAACCTCCAAGTACGGTTTAGGGTTTGGGAACTAGACGCTCCCCTCAGGTTGATCATGGGCCCGAACTTGCTGGTGGGAGCCATGGCCTCTTGGCATTTCCTTCGGGGTACTTAGAACCACTTTTAATTTGTGGTCATTATAATCCCTAAGATTTTAATTTGTGCTAGGGTTCTAAGTTCAGTATAGTTTGCTGAAGTTGCTCGGTTTCTGGTTGCGTGGGGACGTCGGAAATAGAAACCCTAAACCCTAAACCAGAGATCCCGAACCGAAGCCCTTACTATAGAGGCCTAAGAAATTACCACTACTATATTGGTGGTTCCTTATTGTACTTATAGTATACTGGGCCCCAAGGCCATATTCCAATTGCTAAAGCCCCTATATTAAGCCACCTTGGCTGCTCAAGGTTGGGAGCTTTCTGAACTTCGCGCTGCCATCCTGGTTGATTCTTGGGATGCTGGTGGCCATCCTCTCCCATTCTGTTTTCAAGACGTTCAAGAAGGCCTGGCCTGGAGGTTTTTAGATTTATTTGTTGAACCTCCTGGGTTTGGGGTTTAGGGTATAGAGTTTAGGGTTTTGAAGAACACGACTTAGCAGACATTTGCTGGAAGCGGATGTTGGAATGCGCATTTTCCTCTCTGCAGACTTCCCCGTTGACTCGAGACGGCTTGGTGATGTACTGGGCCTTAATAATTACATATCCTATTTTGGGGTTCCTGATTAACACCGAAAGCCTATTCTAGTTATTGAGGCCCGTGTATTACAGGCAAGCCCTGAAAAATATTCGACGAAGAGGAGTCCGGGTCATGGCGCGCTCATGTGAACCCTAAACCAGGCCCTACCTAAACCCCCGCCCACCCCCTAAAGTAGGTAAAAGAATGGCCCAGCACTTGTAAAAGTCTATCATTCTACACACTTTGGAGGGCGCAGCTAACACCTTAACAACGCTTGTGGTCGAGAGCCATCCACTTTTCGATCACAAGCACCGTTGATGGCATTGGCAAGGGCAAAGATCGAAGAGTCTACGCTACACGGGAGACTACTCGACCATCGTCATGCATGCACATCGTATATAACCTCTAATCCCAACCCCCGATTCCTAAGCGCAAACTATAAAAACCCCGAAGCTTGAGCCCTGAACCCTAAATCCTAATATATCCTAATCCCTCCCTGCCCCCCACCCCTCCCGATGGAAAAAAGTGCAAGGCCCTTGAGACGCTGCGGAAGGAGCGTGCGGGAGAAGTCCGTGGGTTGAAGCCGAACAGCCACGACCTCAGCAAGCAGATTTGGGGGACTCTGGGGTTTTAGGGTTTAGGGGTTTTAGAGTTTAGGGTTTTAGAGTTCAGGGTTTCAGAGTTTAGGGTTTTGCAGTTTAGGGTTTTATGGTTTAGGGTTTCTAGGGTTTTAGGGTTTAGGGTTTTAGGGTTTAGGGTTTGGGGTTTCGGGCTTAGGGTTTTAGGGCTTGTGGTTTCGGATTTGTTGGCCCTGTCCTGGCGTGTGTGGTTGCTGTTGTTTTTGCTAGTGCTGTTGTTGTTGCTTTGAGTGTGGTTTTCAGACTGCGTATTACTATGGTCGTGCTCGCCGCAGCAGGCGCTCTTACCTTGAGATGCCATAATTCGTTGCTTTGTAGATTCTTATTGAATGATGAACCCCGATATGAATTTTTAGGGACCCTGGTTGACCTAGTTGACAAAGCATTGGTTTTGGTAGCTCAAGGTAGTGATTGTGATGGCCATTGTTGTTGTGTTTGTGGCCGTGGCCCGGCTTCTTTTGTTTTGAGTAGTCATGTTGTTAGCTTTGCTCCTGTCGTCTTTCTTATTCATGCTTGTGCTTATTCTGTCCGTCTTCTTGTTGCAGTTGCTGCTTGTGCTGCTCTGCTGAAATTTGGGGTATCGATCCAAAGATCGTGAGTGGACAGCGGGTTTGCAACAACGCAGCATTCCTGATGTCAGCTGACTGCAAGCAAGTAATCCCCACTAGACTAGTTGACCAACTATGCGACTTTCTTGGGATGTGCTCAACCCGTGACGTAAGCCTAAAAATGCGTACGGCCATCGGATCCCAGGTGATGCCCGACTTTCTAAGAATCCCATCGAGCGATGCTTGAAGCGGCTTGGCAGCACAGGGCGTAGACCTGCAGACCTTCATGGATCTTGATGGGTGCGTCAAGGACACACTACAGTTGAGGGGTTATAGGGGGTAATGAGGGTGCCTTATTATTTAGAATTGGGTTTTGGGGGTTCCTTATGATAATTAAAGTATATTTTACCCCCAAACCATATTCTAATTATTGAGGCCCCTACATTACGACGTCTTAAGCTTGGCGGAGCCTGAGCCTGAAGTCTAAGCGGGGGATTCCACATGCTAGCTTGCTGGCCACCGGGTTTAGGGTTTCAGGTTTAGGGTTTAGGGACCGGGTTCAGGACTCCTTCTCCGGCCCGCACAAATGGACATCGGCACAACATCTTTCTAAAACAGCACTGTCGCACTCGCATCCCCACTCTTTCTCACTATACTAGTAAAAGGAGCAGAAAATGCAAAGCTATCCGAGCACACAGTTACCAAGGCATTTAAACCCCGTGTTTATTCAGTGCATACATGCATGCTTGAATTTATGGCAGGGATGTGTATGCGTGTATGTATATACATATATAGACATGTGCCATGTACATATCTATGTACATATGCATAAAAATACATGTGCACAGTCATTGCCTCGTGAGGTCTAACTTGTTGTCTGTGGGGGAGAAAACCTGTGCTGTAAACGCTACACTCTTAGGCCCTCAACCCTAACTAAAAGCCTTATAAGGTCAACAACTGCTTCGACAGCACATCTCCACGCCTTCTTCACGCAAGTGTGTCCCTGTGTTGTGTGTGTGTGTGTGTGTGTGTCTGCAGACCTCTACACCTTTAACGCCAAACAACTACTGTGTTGGACATGTTGTTAGGACAATGGTCGAAGCGACAACGCTGGCCTTTGCATAGCAAGACACCCTAATTAGATGACTTGAAGTCGGAATATTGTATCTTGATGCATGATGGTGGCAGCACTAGGTGCTACATCGTTAGGATCATGGTCATGATTTGCATTTGTCGTCGCTATATCTGTCAAGGTTCGTGGGCCTGAGCAAGCGCTATGCAGAGTTCGAGGAGCCATGGTTCAGTCCAAGTACCTGGAGGGGCAGGGGACTTAGTAAGTAGGTTATAAGTAGAGTTATAAGTACTCTAAATGGAGTTACCCCAATTATAACCCTACTTATAACCTACTTGCTAAGTCCCCTGCCCTTCCAAGTAATTCCTAGCAGCCGGAAATCGGACGGAAAACCACAAGATCTTCGCAAGGTCCTACCCAAGCATAGGGCCACAGTCTTGGTGCCTCCTTATTCCTTAACCCAAGAGCCCGCAGCCCGAAATCCGGAAAAACTAACAGCTCCAGACTTCAAATTTCTGAACCCTGAAACCTACTTCCTCGAGTGCTATTGTTACCATAATGGCCCTATAACATTCGCGTTGATTCGGCCCGTTATTGCTGGTCTATCGGTGGCGGACGATGCTAATTGAGATTTCTTCCTGGATATGAATCCTACCCTGGCCCTGAACCCCAAAGCTCAAAGCCTCAAACCATAAACTGCTTGCCGGGGGAGGATCCCGCAGCTTCGTTGCCCCCGGCCGTCGTCGGCCATCGCACCGAAGTCGACGCAGGCACCCACGGGCCCTGAGCTTTCCTGTAACCCGAAACCGGTATAGGTGGAGGAGGGTTTCGGGTTTTCTGTTTGCAGAGTTCGGGGAGGGGGTCATCATCATGAGGAGGAACCTACTGTAGGGGCCTAAATAATTACCAATACTATTTTGGGGGTTCCTTATTACAGTTATGGTATAATGGGCCCCAAAACCCTATTCTAATTATTATGGCCCATATGTTACATTGTCGTCATCAGCAGCTTCTGCACGGCCATTATGATCGTGGTCGTAGGTAAATCCAAGGGTAAAAGGAGGGACCCTTAATAAGGACCACTAGGTATATACCCTTAATATAGCTATTATATATCCATTATATAGCCCATTATAGGGTAGGGGTCCCCATTAAGGGTCCCTCCTTTTCCCTTTTGAGCAAAGCTGTTTCGATGTTCGGAGCTCTGTGCTGGGCTCGGTGTCTCCGGGCATGTGATTCCACAGGGGTTCCTTCACTCACCTTTGATTAGTAGGGAATGGTAGTTGTAGTAGTAGTAGTAGTAGTAGTAGTAGTAGTAGTAGTAGTAGTAGTAGTAGTAGTAGTAGTAGTGGTAGTAGTAGTAGTAGTAGTAGTAGTAGTAGTAGTAGTAGTTATGATTATACCCCATTCCTCCATTCCCTACTAACCAAAGGTAAGTTCAGGAGGAGCTGGAACTGTCGGGAGTGGCACAACGCAAAGAGAGCTTATGGACCACTTGGCGGAAACCACCAGCTGACAATCGCAGCCACTTGTAGCTTCCCGCCAGGGCCTTGGTTGGGTTCAAGTCTCCTCCTCGACACTCAATTCCCCAATTATAGTACCCTATAGATCCCTTATAGTATCCCTTAAAGACTCCTTTAGAAAGGAACCCCTACTATAATCATTAAGGCCCCTAAGTTACGCCCGTCACTCTCAGGGCAGATCAAGCTCGATCTTCAGGACTCCATAGAGAAGGATCCCGAAGGCGCGCATGAGAGTCATGGGCAGAGTTTAGGGTTTAGGAGGCCTTCCGTTTAAAGTCACTTCGGGCGAAGGTTTAACAAATTTGGGTGTCAGGGCTCGGAAGGGTTTGAGGTCTGCAGGTATAGGGCTACTGCAACTATCTACTAATGCTACTACTGTTGCCACTATTATCGCCGTTGCTATTATGACTACCTTGTTACTCTCACTTCTATTGCTGCTATTACTACTATTGCTACCCTTGCTACGATTACTACTAATTCGGCGATTAGTACTATTGCTTCTAGTGCTACTATGACTCGGCGGCGACCGCCACTACGACGACGAATACTACTACTACTACTACTACTACGACGACGACGACGACTACCACCACGACGACGACGACTACTACTACTACTCCTACTCCTACTCCTACTCCTACTCCTACTGCTACTACTGCTACTGCTACTGCTACTGCTACTGCTACTGCTACTGCTACTCCTACTACTACTACTACTACTACTACGACTACGACTACTCCTACTGCTACTACTACTACTACTACTACTACTACTACCACCCCTACTCCTACTCCTACTCCTACTACTACTGCTACTACTGCTGCTGCTACTACCACTGCTACTACTACCACTACTACAACTACTGCTCGGAAAGCCACAACAACGAATGCCATGGCGACGATTACCTTGTTGACTACTGTAGCTGCTGCAATCGCCACCTGATTCTTCATGCTCCGGTTCCCCTCTACCTCCTGATAGATCGCAGCCGCAGAAGCCCCTGTACTAAGTCCTTATAGTAGCCCTTATAGTAACCCTGATAAACCCTTGCTGAGTCCGTCACCGTCGCTTCTGAAGGTCAGATCATCGCCGCAAAGATGACCCGGGAGCCCTCTTTGGACACGGCGCCTCGGTTCTTGTTTAAGGGATTTGATTTCAGTTCCCATAATAAGGAGCCATATTAGTTACCATAGACCCTTGTTATGGTAACTTAAACCTTATAAACCCTTATCTCGTTCAGGGATTTGACGTAAGTTCCCTAATATGGAAACCATATTGCCATATTATTTATTGTAGACCCCTCTTGCGGTAACTTAAGCCCTAAACCCTTATAGATCCCTGAAAGGAACCCTCAAAGGATCCCTTAAAGGATATTACGGTAACTCAAATTGAGTTCCTGATCAAGAACCCAGGCACAGACCCAGCAGAGTGGCCAGAGCCAGGTCCTTGAGCCCCAGTACCCGCGCAGCAAGCTCATAGGCGGGGACTAGCAGATGCGTGCAAACACGCGATGTATACATGGCGAAAGAGGGAAGGAGAGAGAGATACAAGAGAGAGAGAGAGAGAGAGAGAGAGAGAGAGACGGAGATGGAGAGATGGAGAGATAGGGAGATGGAGACATGGAGAGAAAGAGAGAAAGATATCAGGGGTAACCCCTGCACCATAACCCTGGCGAGAGAAAGATAGATATCTATGTGTATACAACGTGTATATATATATATATGCATATATGACAGGGAGAGAGATGCAATGCCCACACACACACACACACACACTTGCAAACACAGCAGTGAACACGTAAGTGCTTGACAAATGTACACAAACATGCCGACAGAGAGTCCAAGTTTGATTTCGATGTTGTATACCTCGACGTACCTTATATGAATCTGTTGCGATGTAGAATTCTACATGCGAAACCAAGCTCAAAGTGTGTCTCGTCGTGGTTGTCATTTGCTGCGACTTGAAGTCAGTGTTTATTTGCCTCCCGGCTCAACTTCGTTTCTGGACGTATGTGTCTGCTGTTTTGCAGCGAAGAGCATGACAGCCGGCAGGTCCACCATGAATCCCGAATCGGGAACCCTCCGGGCCTAGAGTCCCAGAGCTCTGAACCGTGAACGCCCACGAAACCTCTTCGGCACTTCGCAGGTCAAACTTCCCAGACGAGTCGAAATGCCACGCTGCGTTCAAAACTTTCGTCCTAAACACATGAGTTGATCCATGGTTTGCTTCACGGCCCGCCTTAAGGTGTTGAAGCCCAGGCATCCCTGTCTCAAGCCCTGGGGTCCCCAGGTCTAAACCCCTAAGCCCTCGAAGCCCTTAAATCCGAAAGCCTGAAAACCCAAAGCCTTAAACCCCAAAGCCCTAAAACCTAAACTAAAACCTAAACCACTGCTGAAAAGAGCCCATTATAAAAAAAAACGCTGCTAAAGCCCGAAAGCCCCTGGGCAGGCTTCCTCTTGATGTGGGTGGTATTGGTTTGTTCCATCCTTTTCCGTGGTGGCCATGCCGCCGCTGGAATTGTGGATGTGTGCTCGAGCATGCCGCCCAGATGCAAATTGGGTTTAGGGATCAGGGCTCAGGGTTTACGGCTGCAGGGCTGTTCTTCTTCAGCGGCTTCAAGTTCTGGTTTCATTACATCAGCATGGTAATTTCTGCTGCGGTGTTGACCGTTTGGCATGCGTTTTTTTCCATATATACTATTCTGAGGCTTCTAGCTGGCTCTCTCGCATCCTGCCCGTTCTGCACTCCCGTGGCAGTTTCTCTGAAAGACATGTCAAGTCGCTTGCCTCAGACTGCAAGGTATTGGGTGATCGCTGCAGCCACTGCAGCCCAGCTCGTCATCCTCAGCATGTCCTCTTCCGCCAATGCCATTCGCATGGAGGCAGAGCGAGGCCGCCGCGGCCGCAAGACAAAGCAGCCTAAGGCCTAAGCTCGAGGTCCCTTTACCGAAGCTATGTATCATCTTTCTGCAGACGTTCAGAGCTTGACCTGTCTCGGTCTCTTCAGAGCCCTGAGTTTTCCGCACAAAGACCCAAACACGTAATATAGGGGCCTTTTTAACTACCTTTATAGTATTCCTTATTATGATTATATTCTATCGGGACCCAAAACCCAATTCCAGTAATTAAGACCCCTACGTCAAGACCTTGAACATGACAGACCAATGCGACCTTCAGAGCTTCTCAGTTCATGCGGGCCGTCCGCCGCAAGTGGAGGATGCGATCCCATGGACGCTTGGAGCTCGGTCACGGGCTTGTTTTCATTCATGCAGTCATCCATATTACCAATATGACTACAATTCTCACTGCTACTGTTATTGTTACTGCTTGTACAGTTCGTACTACTGTTTCTATCTGCTGTAAAAGCAATCGGGACCGAGAACCCTGGTGATGTCTAAACTTGTTGGAGCCCTTGTGCCCTAAACTTGTCTTTGCGAGAAGCCTCCAATCCGCAAGCCTAAACCCTAAACGCTGTCTTGACAAGAAGTTGCGCTGAGTCGTGTCTTTCCTTAAGGTTGCGAACCGCAGTGTACGTCTCTGTGTGGTCGCTCTTCGCCACGGGCCAAGATAGGTTTGACTTTTATGTAAGGGCTTCAGTCATTGTCAAAGCCATTGTTCCAGAATCTGTGTAGACATCTTGGCTTGGCGTTGGCCAAGCCATGAGCCGGGAGCGCCACGACACACAGCCGCACTAGAAGCATCAGCACCGGCACTTGTATTCGCAGCATTATCAAAAGATCTCGCAGTGAGCATCGAAAACAACTTCGTTGACTTCACGACCACGGCCATGACCACGACCTAGCCACCGCCCATCACACGCTGTTGTTGATGAGCATGGCTTCTTATCGTCACAATTCTCGTCCTCGTCCTGTCACTCGCCAACTGCATCCTCCTCAATAGCAGCAGCATCGTCGCCATGTTGTTGATAGCGGAGGGGCAACGGGTAAATCAGCAATGGATACATGGGCAGATCGGTGGCCGGATGTGAACAATGGTTGCTTCCGTCTTCACAGCCCGCTAATCGGCGTGGTAGCGGTGATGGTCGCATTGGTACTATTACTACAGGCTTGTAACGTATAGCATGCGTCGCTGTAGGACTAGCAGGACAGGCTGGAGCAGTCCGGGCAGCAGAAACAATACCGGCAGTGCCAGCCCTATGATGTGTCGCGACAGCTAGATGACAGTAAATCAACTGGAATACTCCTAGCACCAATGCTGCTCGTTGTACTAGACTGCAGATGGACAAAAACAACGCTAAGGCGGGCATGCTTGCAGCCCTGTGTGGTATCGGCGGTGGCATGATCATGGGTGGCGGCCCAAGGACCTACTGACCTACCGGAACCTGCATGTTCGCTGTTGTTTCTGCGTGAGCATGTGCTGGTTAAAACGCAAGGCACCGCCTAGACCCCCTCTCCACAACCTCCAACCCCAGCGCTGGATTCTACTGGGCCGGCCGACTTCACCCTAAACACCTGAATCCATAGTCCCCAGAAACCCCCAAGCCCCTAAACCCTGAACCCTTAGCAACAGCCTGAAAACCCTCAGACCTAAAATCTTGGAGCCTTGAACCCCAAACCCTCAACCCTAAGGCCCTTACAACACGGATCGGATGAATAGAATTAGTCCTGGTATGTCTTAAAAAGTTCTGGATGACATGTCTATTGTACGATATCCAATAGTACATATACACATGTTATAAGGATGTATATGTATATATATATATATATATATATATATATATATATTTTTTATATTTATATTTATATTTATATTTATAAGTATGTATATAGATGTATACTCATGTATCCCAAAATGCAAAACCGCATTTTGCTGAATACGGCCCTCTTCCCGCATGCAGGTCCTAAGCTCCTGGACTTGGGATGTCTGCCACAGGCCGGAAAAGAGCTGCCGTTAGGGTTCCTTGATGGGAGTTGCCCAAAATGGGGCACCCTAAACCCTAAACCGTGCCCTCAATAGTAGGATCCTTATAAGGTCCCTTTAATATGGTACCATTAATTTTCAGAAACTCACTGGGCTGTACAGGGTTTTGAGTTTTAGGGCTTTAAGGGGTTTAGGGTCTCAGGGTTTAGGCTTTAGGGGTTTAGGGTTTGGGGTTTAGGGTTAGCTATAGTATACTCTAGAGGCCTGAAATGATTAGTACTACTCTTTCATAGGGTTCCTTCATCTATAATAGGTATACGTCCTGTGGAAATATGTGTGTATGCATGTGTATGTGTATGTGTGTGTATATATATATATATATACATGTGGACACACGATGTGGGGGGGCCCTTAAACTCCAAAGCAATGCAAACGTTGCTCCTTATGTAGGGTGCGGTAATATAACTGCACCAGAAAGTACACCAAGATCCGATTTTGATTCAGGCGCCCATATTATGACTTGCTCCCTGACCGCGGGTGTCCTTCCGTTGCTATCAGGGTCCTGCTGCAAGGGGCTGCCAAACCCTCGTTTAAGGTGGGGTTGAGGTTTCCCGGGACTCGGAACCCAATGAGGGCTGGCTATAATTACCCTACAAGGCCCAAACATGCTTGCACAGATCCCCAACTCCCAAAGCTTCAACCCTTAAGCCAGCGCATGGGATTGCTCTAATTCATGTTCCCTCTTTGTTCCTTGATCATGACGAGCTATTCATCGCTTGCGAAAGTAGGTATCTTCAGTGTATCCAAATTTCAGAGACAACTGCCGATCAGTGACAAGCCTTCACTTGTTTCCCTCAGGTCCAAAGTGCAACTACAGCCAGGGGCCTGGCAGTAGTTGAACTTCGTCTTTTCCTGATTGACTGCAGATGTGCACACTATTAGGATATGGCCTCGGACCGAGGCAACAACGCTTTTCGTCATGTCGACGTCGACTACTATCGCCTTCCTGGTGCAAGGCCATAAACACCCATGGTTTCGGGCCCCAGGGTTGAGGGTCACATGCTCACCGACGCCCCAAAAGCTGACAGAGAAAGTTTCTGCTGCATGAGCTTGAGGGTTACCATGGGGAGTAAGTAGAGACCGTTGAGCCCCGAGGCCCTGTAGGATTCGATCTCCGTGGCCGCAAAGCGGAGGCACAGCGCCCATGGATTACTCGCTGTTTCTGGGGCTTGCCACCGCCATGGGAGCGCGGCCCTGAGAAAAAACAAAGGGAGTGGGGGCAAAAGCCGCTTCCGCAGCTCATACCGGGCAGCAACACCGAGAGCTCGTGGTTGCATTGTTGCAAGCATGCTGGCGAGCAATCGAAGTACAGCTTGTGCTTCTGCCTGTTGCCTATGACAATGACCTCAACCCGAGTTTATCAGCAGTTTTCCGACCAGCTCTACCCCAAGGAACCCTTGAATCCGAACTAACAGACCCCGAACCCCCAAACCCAGTGGAGAGTGAGCCCTAACGCCCTAAGAGCTTCAGACACCCGAAGACCCGAAACTCCGCGACAAAAACAAAAAGCCACTTTGAGGCTGTGGTGGGAAAGGCCGTGATTGGCTGGGTTGTGAAGCGCACCCGCAGACCCTCGGCACCTTGACACCAACGACGTGTGCAGACGGCGCTGGTATCTCCTAATCACGGCCGATACCTGTCATGCCAAACCGATTTCAAGTGGTTCGCATGCCCACGGGCTTCGAGCACCTAGGAGCTAGCTGGCCTTCTTTCGGACCTGTCCGCTCAAGACAGTGACTTCCATGTGCCACCAGATAGTAGCTCTCCAGTTAAGTTGGCAAGTGAAGCATCAGCCATTTGGAAGCTGTTGACAACTCAGCCGATGCTTCTTTAGCCATGTGAGAGAGGCATATCTATCCTGCACCACTAACCCTAAAGCCTAAAGCCTCGAATTCTTCGTAGTGAGCCCAAAGCCATATGGGAGTTTCCAAGAACAGGGGACCCTAATATAGTACCCTACATAGTAGGATCCATATTATAAGGACCCCAAATAAGGTACCCCTAATTTTCGGAAACTCCCATATCTTGCCATTGAGGTAAACCCTAAACCCTAAACCCCTAAACCCCTAAACCCCTAAGCCCCTAAACCCCTAAACTCTAAACCCAGGTAATCATGTTCATCCTGGGTGGCATCATTGCTACATCAGCTGGCGCCTGAGACACCGGGGGCAGATCGGCGCTCGAATCGAACTCTGAAGTAGAGGCCTTGCGCTCAGAAGCCATATATGGGAGTCTCTAAAAAATAGGAGTCCCTTATTTTGGGGTCCATATAAGGATCCTACTATTTAGGGTGTATATATATATATATATATAATTACCATAATAGGGTCCCCTATTTTCGGAAACTCCCATATGGGGCCATGGGGTGTAGGGCAATGTTAGGCGCGAGGGCCTGAGTGGGGCGTATGGCGTAAGTATCCGCAGACTCAAGCCAGTGCGAAACCGAGGTGGTCGTGATGTCCGTGACAGGCGCCTTGCCAGATATGAATGATGGGAGTGATGTAGGGGCCTTAATGATTAGCATAGGGTTTGGTGGTATGTTTTACTATAGATTTGACCGATCGGCGCAGGATGCAGGGACTTCGGAGAATCGGTTGGCTGTGACACAGGATTTGTTTGAGAGTCGTCTGCAGAGGCTCGCACAAGCAAGTTTGGGAAGGAGCGGACCCTATCAGAAATCCGAGTCCATGACACCCTGCCGAACTCGGCAAGAACGTGTCGTGACAAAAGATTAGCCTACACCTCAGGGATGCCCCCAACCCCCACAGGAAGCAATCAAGTTAGTAGTGTAGCCCACACAGACCAAACTCTGCACAGAATCGGGAGTTGGATGGCCCTATTGCCTGAAGCTTCCAGCCTCTCCGAGCTCCGCCGCCCGTTCGAGACTGGGACCAGCTTTTATGAAGGGGTGTTTGGTGGAGGAAGCTGTATTGCCGAGTGGTGCCATAACATCACCGGGAGGCTTCATCGATGTTGTGGACGACATCATACAGGGCCTTGACCTCAAATGCCTGGTGCATGCTCAGCTGAAAGAGTTCCAGGTTGGGGAATTGGAGGTTTGGCCACTATTGAGGGGACATGAAAGGTTGTCAATCAGAGTGGCTGCCCAAAACCCTCAAGCCACAAGAATGCCAACCACCTGAAACCCTAGCGTCCTAAACCCCAAAGCCCCACACTCTCTGTCGCAACAATGGTCGACTTCCCCAGTGACAGCCGAGGACGCGACCTGGGCTTCCGGGATCCCTGCGTCGTAGCCTGATTCCTGTGAGGTTCCTGCAGCGCCTTAGAACGTAAAGGAGAGTAAATCCTACGCCCTGCAGCCTGAAACATTAAATTAAATCCCGGAAACCTTTGCAAAAAGAACTAAAGCACAGAAACTCTCAGAAACTCCCATGCAGAGATGGTCAGAAGATCACCCTAAACTCGAGACCCTAACACCTCCCCAAGCCCTAAAGAGCCCGACCGGGCCCTACCACAGTTTGAAGACTTCTCATCGTTTTGCGGCTCCCTGCCGCGGGGGCGGCCCTTCAGCTCACCGAACAACTCGGGGGAGCCTCGGGGTCAGCAAGAAGTGGGAGTTTTCGAAAATTAGGGGTACCTTATTTGGGGCTCCTTATAATATGGATCCTACTATTGAGGGTACCATATTAGGGTCCCCTATTTTCGCATTCTCCCAAGTAAGCAAGCAGGAGACACCCAGAGGGGCCTTAGTGGTAATTAATAAGAGCCACGATAGTAATAATAGCAGCCAATAACGATAAGAATAATGATGATGATCATAGTAGCATTAACAACAAGAAACAGAAGAATGAAACAGTAGTCATAACCGTCATAACCATATATACTTAACGATATCATCTCTAGGACTCCTCCTCTAGAGATGTGCTTCAACTCAATGGCTGTCTCCTATTGCACGCTTCTCAGCCACGCCAAATTCGAAAAGAAACTCTTGGCTGTTTGGCCACACCGAAAAGATCGACAAAACAACTTGTCAGTTTACATCTGCAAGGGCCTGTCCAAATCCTACGCCGTACGAAGCCCAGAGCCTAAAGCCCTTAGCTCACGGAGCTTCGCGGGCCTTGCTGAGATCTGGGCCAGGTGGAGAGTTCAGTAGTGCAGTGTTGCTCATGCTCACAAGAATATGGTGGTCTCAGCCCGTCAGGCTCGCTGAAACAGAGTAGAGTGCTCTGAGACAATGCCGAACCACGATGGCCGCCGTCGTCGCAGCAACGAATGGGAGCAGTGGAGGCAGGCATCTGGCAGGCGACAGATGTGTCTGCACATATGTATGTATATATATATATATATATATATATATACATATCTGTATATATATATATACACACCTATATATATATATGTGTATATATACGTACATATTTATTTGCATGTCGATCTATCTATCTATCTTGCATGCATTCTACATATATACATGTATATGGACCCCCCGGAACCGCGCATGCACGCACTTCGTTCTTCTTTTTAGAGAGGCATTGTTGTTTTTGCTATCGGAGGGATCGCCTTTTTACGTTACTCTTCGAAGACCGCTGTTTGGAGTTTTCGTCTGTTCTTAATGCACCGACCTCTGTATAGAAGACTCCAATAGAGGGAAATGGCATTGGTAACTATCTCAGGAAAGTGTGACGGTGAAGCCAGCCTTGATAGTATGCATTGGGCATAGATATGACCATGACTGGAAGTGGTGATTGGATAGGTTTGTAGGGACAAGCCGACTTCGCACACGATTGGGTACATAGAGGGGAGTTGCATATGTGTATGTATGTATGTATGTATGTATGTGCGTATGTATGTATGTATGTATGTATGTATATATATATACACATATATATATATATATATGTATGTGTATATACATATATGTTTGCGGTAGCATCTATCTATCTATAAATATAAATATAAATATATATGTGTATATATATATATATATGTACACAGGTATGTATATATAAACATGTGCATATGTTTGGTTCTCTTCTCTTACGTGTCACTTCAAAAGCAGTGAGATGTGGCAATTCATTGGATGCTTTGTCCCCGGCTTGCCGTATCCATGGCGCCAGGCGACACGGAAATGCAACGTGGCAAGACTTCCACGTCAATTGCGGCCAGGCTTACACGCACCGCGTTGCATGGGAAGAGGTTTACAACCGCGAGCCTGAATTTCAGAAGATGCCCATGGCCCTGCCCGGACGCACATATGAGATGCCACCGATGCACTTCTTCCATATGCCGATGCAGAATGGGATTGAGTGGGGAGGCTTCATACCCCCGCCCGCGCCCGTCGTCGATCATGTGCAGCTCGTCCTGCAGAACATTTTCCTGCTGCAATGCATGGGGCCTGTTCAGGCCGAACTAATCCTCAAGAAAACAGCTGCCCTTCAGGGGCCGTATACAGACTAAAGAGCAGCGCGCTCTCAGAAAGCTGTGCACACCCTTAGAGGTGAAATTTCTTCAATCTAATTTCTTCATGCAAGAATTTAATGAAACGGTTCAACAATGAGCTGATTCCGCTGGCCCGACCGGGCACTGCATGGTACTGTCGGACGGAGTTGTGTGCGAGCCTGCTAGAAGTTCGGCGTGTTCTTCGCAGAATCCGGAGTTGGAACCTTCCATCAGATGCGGTCTGCACTGCAAATCTCTGTGCCGCATTCCTGCTTGCTGAAGTGTTGCTCACAGGTAGGTTAGACAGCATGGTGCATCGAGTATCGAGACAATACCGACGAAAACGGGAAACTAACTACAGACACCGAGTGCCGCGGCCGATGCCCGTCGTAGCGAAGCCATGTGATAGCTACAGGCAATGGGCGCCAGGCTGATGTTTGGCAGGCCTTCCGAAAGATCTTCCGAACAATCAACAACACGCTTTGTCAGATGTTTCCTCTATGATGCCATGCTGCAGTGTCAGGCTGCAGCAACGAGGGCCGAGGGGCGGAGCAGCTGGTCGCGCGGTTGATGTTGAATTTCAATATCAACTACGCCACCGGTGCCACCTGGCTGGCGAGGTCCGGAGGAGTCGCCCGCGGCCACACGCCACACTCAGCCAAGACGACGACTTTTGACCAGGTGGTGCGCGTGTGGAAGGATGTTCGGGTGGCGAGAAACCTTCGCCGCCCCCAACTACATCAGGGTCATCATGGACAACTTTGCTGCACTTGAACTTTGTTGTCCACGATGATTTTGACATCGTTGTATTCGAACATGTGACTTAGTTGCAGGTGCAAGCCTGTTCTTGCTCTGAGGCTTCAAGGCGGTGGTCTTAATTGCGTATGCCGTGAGTGTACCAATGTGCCATTCTCAAATTTGGTTCTTGTATCCTGATCATTTTATTCTTTCTATTTGCCCGCTCGCAGCGTGTTAAGTCGCTCTCACATTGCAAGGTACTGGGTCATCGCAGCCACCGCAGCACAGCTCGTCATCCTGGGCATGTGTTCTTCTGCCACTGCCGTTCGCGCGGCGGTAGAGCGAGGCCGCAGTGGCGGCAAAACCAAGCAGCCTAAGCTCGAGGTCACATCACGGAAGGCATTCACAGGCGTTCACGGCTTCTCCATAGTTTAAGTTTAAATTAAGTCTAACCGTAACCTAGTGATTCGAATTCTTACGGGTACGTACATCGAAGACAACAGCCAAGACCCAAGCAGCACAAAGCCTTAAACATAACGGTGCGACCTCAAAGCTTCTCAGTTCATGCAGGCTGACCGCCAAGAGGAGGATGCGATGCTGTGGACGCCTGGAGCTCGGTGTTGTTTTCATTCACCATTCACGCTACAGGGTCGATATCAGAACAAGCTTGAGCAAGTGTTAAACTTCAGACGTTTGAAATTCGAGTTCCAGAATTGCTCGGCCTACGACCAGCGCGAAGGCATCTGGGGTTTTTGCGGCCGAAACTGACGGACCGAAAACCCAGTGAATTTTGAACTTTCTGGAGAGCCTGCGCCCTGAACTTTGGCCTCGCAAGAAACCTGCATGCGCTGAGTCCCGATTCGTTCGTGAAGCTTGCGAACCGCGGCGTGTATGTCTCAGTGTGGTAGGTCTTCGCCACGGGCCAAGATGGGTTTGGCTATTCGTATCTATTAAGACGCGAGCTGCAGTCATTCACAGCCATGGTTCCACGATCTTTATCAACATATTAGCATAGCAATAACCAGACTACACATAAGCATTAGGCCATTAGGCCACTACATGTTTTCTGCCCCTACCTTCCGTCACGACACACGGCCACACCGGAAGCAGTCATACCGAAATGTTCAGGAGTTACACCTTGAGCATGCAAAATGACTTCGGCAGTTTCACGACCCACTGCCCACAACTTTGTTAATGAGCATGTGCTTGTCGTTGCCCTTGTCGTCTTTATTCTCCTCATCACCAGCAGCATCATCGTTGAAAGCGCAAGGGTACCAGGTAAATCCGCAATGGACACAACTTGTCAGTTGGACCAGCAGCGGTAGTTAGTCGCAGCAGCCCCAGCAGCGGAAGCTAGTATAGGCCTAGCGGCGCAAGCAGCACAAGTAGTTCCAGCCATATGAAAGGTCGTGACGACTACAGTCGTCTGTAGTTATACTGCATCGATGCAGTACATGAGCCAGCAAACTCGGAGTTCCCGTGCGGCTTCTTGTAGTAGAAGGACAAGGAAAAAATGCTGAGGCTGGCAGCCTGGCAGCCCTATGTGGCATCGGTGGTGACATGGTCATGGGGGGCGGCCCTAGCCCCAGGACCTATTTGCAGGTTCATGGTGCTGTCTGCGTTCGGAAGTAAGGCAGTTGATTCGAGCTAAATTCAAGCACTAGTCTAGCGGAGTAGTTTGTCCTGTCACGCTTCAATCCGATCTCTTCTCTGTGTGCGAATCTTGGAGCCTCAGTTCGACGAGGGCAGTGGGGTTTGGGAATGCGGGCTTCCGAATTGAGTGTTGGAGTGTTGGAGGAGGCTCAGAATAGGCAATAAGTATAGATGAGCCGCCGGATGGCACAGTTGAAGAATGCAGCAACCGTCCGGCACAGGCGTCAAACACGGCAAGCAAGTATGATCTAAAGTAGCATGTGATTGTACGCTTCACCTAAAGCCCCAAGCCCCTAAACCCTAAACCCTCACCACAAGCCTTATCAAATCTTGCAACGCTTAATTAGCCAACCCTCAGCCCGCAAACCTACGATCCCTGAACCCTGAACTCCTTCAGGTGCCCCTCTCTGCCTGCAAGTCCTAAACTCACGGCCCTGGGATGCCCGCTACAGGCTCGAGAAGAGAAGCCCTCCAGGAACCCAATAGAGTCGTTTCCGCGTTTAGGGTTTTGGGTTTAGGGCTAGCCGGTTTGATTAATTGAAGTACGAACTTGCTTCCCACTCCTAACATAGATCATTTTCCTTCGCTGTGCCTGACCACCACGAGCTACCGATCGCTTGCAAAGGTAAGTATCTTCAGGGTAGCCAAAATACAGAGCCAACCTCAAGCCGGCACTCCACCGGTCCCGAAGTGCATCTACAGCCGCAGGCCTGGCTCATCACACACCTGCTGAGTGCGAAGATTGTCTAGTGCTTTCGTGGTTCTTGGAGCAGACACGGGACCCTAAACCATGGCTGCGGATAAAAAACATGGCATAGCGGATTGCTTCCGACCGAGGCAAGAACCCTTTTCGTCACGTCGACTTGGACCACTACCGGCACTACCGCTGCAAGGCCATTGTGTGGTTCCGGGAAATGGATACACCCATGCTAAGGGTTCCTGGGGCTTTCACATGAACACCGACGACTCGACGACAGATTTTTTACGGTTGAATGCAATGGCGACCCAAAGCCTGAGAGAGACAAGGGTAGACCGCAATGCTATGGAGAGCCGGAGGAGACCCCCGAGCCTGAAGGTCCCAAGATCTCCGTCGCCTGGAAGCCGAGGCACAGCGCCGTGGATTACTCGCTGTTTCTGCGGCTTGCCACTGGCACGACAAAGTCATCAGAGCTTTATGGGGTTTGTACGGGGGTTTGAGAAGTTTCGGGTTGGAGAACTCGCATGTCGAATCTGTCCGACTCGGCTGAGCTTCCGCAGCTCCGTATTTGACACCCAAATCTTGTTTTGCATATTTGGAAGCACACATTGAGAACAACTGAAGTAAGGCTTGTGGTTCTGGCTTTTGCCTATGACCCGAATCTTGGGCCTCAACCCCAAAGTGTCCGAGACCGAGAGCGCTACCCTTCCGAAGTCTTCCTCAACAGCTTGTGAATCCGATCCCCTAAACCCCTTATAGACAGCCGGAAAACCCGTGAACCCTAAAGACGCTGATATCCGTGTTACTCAGATGCCTGGTGTATGCTTGCTGAGAGGGCGGCCCTTGAGCTCACCGAACAACTCGGGGGAGCCTCGGGGTCAACAAGAAGTGGGAGTTTCCGAAAATTAGGGTTACCTTATTTGGGGGTCCTTATAATAAGGATCCTACTATTTAGGGTACCATATTAGGGTCCCCTATTTTCGGAAACTCCCAAGTAAGGCAAGAAGTCACAGGAGGCCAAAAGGGGGTTTTAGCCTATGGGGGCTTAGTAGGGATTAGGGTTCCCATAATAGGGTTCATATTAAGGAATCCCTACCCCAAGAATCTGAAACCCCCCTTTTGGCCTCCCATCAAGATGTAGGCAAGCAGGAGACACCCAGAGGGGCCTTAGTGGTGAACCACAATAGTAGTAACAGCAGCCAAAAACGACAACAATAATGATGATGATCATAGTAGCACCGATAGCAAGAACAAGAAGAAACAATGGTCATAGCCATATAGACTTAACTATAATACTATATCATTCTCTAGGACTCCTCCGCTAGAGATGTGCTTCAACTCAATGGCTGTCTCCTATTGCACGCTTCCCAGCCACGCCAAAATCGAAAAGAAACTCTAAGCTGTTTGGCCACAGCGAAAAGATTGACAAAACAACTTGTCAGTTTACATCTGCAAGGGCCTGTCCAAATCCTACGCCGTACGAAGCCTAGAGCCTAAAGCCCTTAGCAGACGGAGCTTCGCGGGCCTTTGCTCAAAAGAACATGGTGGTCTCAGCCCGTCAGGCGTAGTGAAGCAGAGTAGAGTGCTCTGAGACAATGCCGAACCACGGTGGCCGCCGGCGCCGCAGCAACGAATGGGAGGAGCGGCGGCAGGCAGGCTCTGGCAGGCCTCCCCGCACTTGAAAGATGTGTGTGCGTATATATATATATATGTATATATATATATACATATACATATATTTATTTGTATATATACGTACATACACATATGTATATATATATATATACACACACACAAGTACTTATATACGACATAATATCTATCTATCTTACATGCATACTTACATATATACACGTATATGGACCCCCCGGAACCCCCCAAGCACACACTTTTTTCTTTTTGCCCTGTTTAGGAAGGCATTGTTTGTTGAGTGTTTGTTGGTATCGGAGGGATTGCCTTTTTACGTTACTCTTCGCAAACCTCTGTTTGATATTTTCGTCTGTTCTTAATGCACGGACCTCTGTATAGGTGTCTTTCCAATATGGCATGGGAATGCTTGTTTCTGCTTGGCATAAAATTACACACTTTTAGAGATAAGTGTATATGAAGGTTACTGGTGTCGCTTTGTTTTGGCATGGAGGATCTTCAGTTGTTGTGTTTTCATTGCTACTTGTAAAGGGCTTCGGCTTTAACTGGTCATTACAGTACAGAGACCTACTCCGTGCCATATCCGCATTTCGCAACAAAGTTCTGACATACATGACATGTTCATAGTCATCATCGAAAAAGCCCCAAAACGTCTGAACCGACTTTGGAAAACACACTCATTCAGCTAAGAGTGCTTGTGCATATTGGTAAATAGTGCATGCGCAGCCATGAAGTCTCAGAGGATATGAGTTGGTAATTTGCATTTTATCCGGTTGTGAACAAACATAGGACACAACAACTGGTGCATTGACTTTGTGACGTCTGGGTAGTCTTAATTAGCATGAATGACAGCTGTTGAACAATACCGTTTACCATGAGTGCCATGCAGGAGTACTGTACAGTACGAAAAATGGAGTTACAGAGTGTTAACTCGGTTGGTCTGACAGAAGCAGCAACCGGAATGGTGACTAGAACCACAGTAGGGGGAAATGCATTGGTAACAATGTCGTTGGAAAGTGTGAAAGTCAAACCACCTTTGATAGGATGCGCAGAAGAACATGTTCTATGACCATGCATGGCAGTGGTGATTGGATAGGTTTGTAGGGATCTGACGACTTCGCACACGATTGAGTACATGGAGGGCGGTGGCGCATATATATATATATATATATATCTATATATATATATAGTTATACTACCGTATGTATGTATATATATATATTAATTATGATTGCTATACAGATAATTTTGTTCACGATTCTCTTCTTATGTGTCACGTCGAATGCATTGAGATGTGGTCATTGCTTGGTTGCTTTGTTTTCGGCTTGCTTTATCCATGGCGCAGGCGATACGGAAATGCAATGTGGCAAGATTTCCACATGAAGCGCGGAGAGGCTTACACGCACCGCCTCACAGAGGAAGAGGTTTACAACCGCGAGCCTGAATTTCACAAGGTGCCCATGGCCCTGCTCGGACGCACGTATGAGACGCCGCGGATGCCACCACACTTCAACCATATGCCGATGCAGAATGGGATTGGGTGGGGAGGCTTCATACCCCCGCCCGCGCCCGTCGTCGATCATGTGCAGCTCGTCCTGCATAACATTTTCCTGCTGCAGTGCATGGGGCCTGTTCAGGCCGAACTAATCCTCAAGAAAACAGCTGCCCTTCAGGGGCCGTATACAGACTAAAGAGCAGCGCGCTCTCAGAAAGCTGTGCACACCCTTAGAGGTGAAATTTCTTCAATCTAATTTCTTCATGCAAGAATTTAATGAAACAGTTCAACAATGAGCTGATTCCGCTGGCCCGACCGGGCACTGCATGGTACTGTCGAACGGAGTTGTGTGCGAGCCTGCTAGAAGTTCGGCGTGTTCTTCGCAGAATCTGGAGTTGGAACGTTCCATCAGATGCGGTCTGCACAGCAAATCTCTGTGCCGCATTCCTGCTTGCTGAAGTGTTGCTCACAGGTAGGTTAGACAGCATGGTGCACCGAGTATCGAAACAATACCGACGAAAACGGGAAACTAACTACAGACACCGAGTGCCGCGGCCGATGCCCGTCGTAGCGAAGCCTTGTGATAGCTACAGGCAATGGGCACCAGGCTGATGTTTGACAGGCCAACAACACGCGTTGCCAGATGTTTCCTCTATGATGCTACTTTGATCCATGTTGCACGGCATTGGCTCTGAGACGCCATGCTGCAGTGCCAGGCTGCAACAGCAACGAGGGCCGAGGTGTGCAGCAGCTGGTCGCGCGGTTGATGTTGAACTTCAATATCAACTACACCGGTGCCACGCGGCTGGCGAGGTCCGGAGGAGTCGCCCGCGGCCACACGCCACACTCAGCCAGGACGACGACTTTTGACCAGGCGGTGGGTCGCGAGAAACCTTCGCCCCAACAACATCAAGATCATCACTCGCAGCCCGCTGAAGCTGGTTCTTCGCCAAGAGCATCGGACCGGGCCTTCAGCATGGAGTGCCGGATGGGCAGTGCGCTGGTTGCTGATTTGTTTGATGACGCCTACTGTGCAAACCTGGCCTTCATCCCAAAACTTGTCGAAGAGAGAAGCCCCTCAGCTTCTCAACAGGTGGCCCACGCCAAGTCAGTTTGGCAGGATCCAGCTTTAGCGTTGAGAGACTGCTTCGTTTCATTATTGGTTAACACCTTCGAGTGCGAATGTCAAGGCATCGAAGGCATCGCAGGCAGTGTGCAATTGGGCACATTGACTTCCGAAGAAAAGCACGTCGTGCAAACAATTCTGCGTAACAGCAGAAAGAGCGAGAAAGCTTTGCTTGAGTTCATTCCAATTCCGAGATGTGTTCATGGGATGATGGCGTTGCTGATGGATCCTTTGTTGGACTGTCGCCAGCAGCTCGAAGGCCGGTTGTCTTCAATGTTCCTGCAAGCCGTTTCCTCTGTCCATATAGAACGGCTCTGGTATAAAAACAGCGCTTAGAACTACAAGGCCTCTTCATGCCAGTTCACACTCAACACACATCATGCAGGTGGAGGTCGAGTCGCGGACCTCTTGGCAAGCCCTGCGCTGGCATGCCAACAGCGTGGCTACAATTTGCCGCTGGAGATGATCGTCTGCGGTTTCACGGACGAGGATTTGCGCAATGGGTTGTTCGCTGTCAAGCAGTGACATGTGTAGCCAGTGTTTGAATGGAGTTCATGTCGGTCCGTACACGTCGACAGAGACAACCCATGCTGGCAGGATGTACTCATGCTAAACTTGGACCAGAATCAGAGTCACCTGGTTTCACTCATATTGCAGGTACTCCATACTAATTCACAGTCTAATTAAACTGGCTCGGCACGAGAGTGCCCCTGCCATCGTAGCAGCGATGCTCATATCGCATCACCAGGCGCTACGGAAGTTGCTGTTAGTTCTCGCAATCGGCAACTCGGATAAGGAGAACTGGGATGGCTCCAACGTACAAAATCTGATGGGTGCAGATACCGGTACTAGAACAGAGAGAAATATGAGATTCGGAACTTAACCAAATATGTTTTGAAAATCAGTAGTTATTGATCTAGAGTTTGATATCATGATAGGAATACCTTTATCATGAATCTATAAGGTCACGATGCAGTATTACAGTATGACAATATTACAATATTATATATTATAGGGGCGGCCCTTGAGCTCACCGAACAACTCGGGGGAGCCTCGGGGTCAGCAAGAAGTCACAGGAGGCCAAAAGGGGTTTTAGCCCAATCGGGGTTTAGTAGGGATTAGGGTTCCCACAATAGGGTTCATATTGGGGGTTTAGTAGGGATTAGGGTTCCCATAATAGGTTCATATTAAGGAATCCCTACCCCAAGAATCTGAAACCCCCCTTTTGGCCTCCCATCAAGATGTAGGCAGGCAGGAGACACCCAGAGGGGCCTTAGTGGTGAACCACAATAGTAGTAATAGCAGCCAATGACGACAACAATAATGATGATGATCATAGTAGCACCAATAGCAAGAACAAGAAGAAACAATGGAAATAGCCATAATACTAGATCATTCTCTAGGACTCCTCCCCTAAAAAATGTGCTTCAACTCAGTGGCTGTCTCCTAGTGCGCGCTTCCCAGCCAGGCCAAAATCGAAAAGAAACTCTAAGCTGTTTGGCCACAGCGAAAAGATTGACAAAACAACTTGTCAGTTTACATCTGCAAGGGCCTGTCCAAATCCTACGCCGTACGAAGCCTAGAGCCTAAAGCCCTTAGCAGACGGAGCTTCGCGGGCCTTTGCTCAAAAGAACATGGTGGTCTCAGCCCGTCAGGCGTAGTGAAGCAGAGTAGAGTGCTCCGAGACAATGCCGAACCACGGTGGCCGCCGGCGCCGCAGCAACGAATGGGAGGAGCGGCGGCAGGCAGGCTCTGGCAGGCCTCCCCGCACTTGAAAGATGTGTGTGTGTGTGTATATATATATATACATATACATATATTTATTTGTATATATACGTACATACACATGTATATATATATATACACACACAAGTACTTATATACGACATAATATCAGACCCCCGAACCCCCCAAGCACGCATTTTTTTGCCCTGTTTAGGAAGGCATTGTTTGTTGAGTGTTTGTTGGTATCGGAGGGATTGCCTTTTTACGTTACTCTTCGCAGACCGCTGTTTGATATTTTCGTCTGTTCTTAATGCACGGACCTCTGTATAGAAGACCCCAATATGACACGGGAATGCGTGTTTCTGCTTGGCATAAAATTACACACTTTTAGAGATAAGTGTATATGAAGGTTGCTGGTGTCGCTTTGTTTTGGCATGGAGGATCTTCAGTTGTTGTGTTTTCATTGCTACTTGTAAAGGGCTTCGGCTTTAAATGGTCATTACAGTAAAGAGACCTACTCCGTGCCATATCCGCATTTCGCAACAAAGTTCTGACATACATGACATGTTCATAGTCATCATCGAAAAGCGCAAAACGTCTGAACCGACTTTGGAAAACACACTCATTCAGCTAAGAGTGCTTGTGCATATTGGTAAATAGAGCATGCGCAGCTATGAAGTCGCAGAGGATATGAGTTGGTAATTTGCATTTTATCCGATTGTGAACAAACATAGGACACAACAACTGGTGCATTGACTTTGTGACGTCTGGGTAGTCTTAAATAGCATGAATGACAGCTGTTGAACAATACCGTTTACCATGAGTGCCATGCAGGAGTACTGTACAGTAAGAAAAATGGAGTTACAGAGTGTTAACTCGGTTGGTCTGACAGAAGCAGCAACCGGAATGGTGGCTAGAACCACAGTAAGATGGAAATGCATTGGTAAAAATTTCATTGGAAAGTGTGAAAGTCAAACCACCTTTGATAGGATGCATTAGGCGCAGAAGAACATGTTCTATGACCATGCATGGCAGTGGTGATTGGATAGGTTTGTAGGGATCTGACGACTTCGCACACGATTGAGTACATGGAGGGCGGTGGCGCATATATATATATATATATCTATATATATATATATATAGTTATACTACCGTATGTATGTATGTATATATATATATATATATATATTAATTATGATTGCTATACAGATAATTTTGTTCACGATTCTCTTCTTATGTGTCACGTCGAATGCATTGAGATGTGGTCATTGCTTGGTTGCTTTGTCTTCGGCTTGCTTTATCCATGGCGCAGGCGATACGGAAATGCAATGTGGCAAGATTTCCACATGAAGCGCGGAGAGGCTTACACGCACCGCCTCACAGAGGAAGAGGTTTACAACCGCGAGCCTGAATTTCACAAGGTGCCCATGGCCCTGCTCGGACGCACGTATGAGACGCCGCGGATGCCACCACACTTCAACCATATGCCGATGCAGAATGGGATTGGGTGGGGAGGCTTCATACCCCCGCCCGCGCCCGTCGTCGATCATGTGCAGCTCGTCCTGCATAACATTTTCCTGCTGCAGTGCATGGGGCCTGTTCAGGCCGAACTAATCCTCAAGAAAACAGCTGCCCTTCAGGGGCCGTATACAGACTAAAGAGCAGCGCGCTCTCAGAAAGCTGTGCACACCCTTAGAGGTGAAATTTCTTCAATCTAATTTCTTCATGCAAGAATTTAATGAAACAGTTCAACAATGAGCTGATTCCGCTGGCCCGACCGGGCACTGCATGGTACTGTCGAACGGAGTTGTGTGCGAGCCTGCTAGAAGTTCGGCGTGTTCTTCGCAGAATCTGGAGTTGGAACGTTCCATCAGATGCGGTCTGCACAGCAAATCTCTGTGCCGCATTCCTGCTTGCTGAAGTGTTGCTCACAGGTAGGTTAGACAGCATGGTGCACCGAGTATCGAAACAATACCGACGAAAACGGGAAACTAACTACAGACACCGAGTGCCGCGGCCGATGCCCGTCGTAGCGAAGCCTTGTGATAGCTACAGGCAATGGGCACCAGGCTGATGTTTGACAGGCCAACAACACGCGTTGCCAGATGTTTCCTCTATGATGCTACTTTGATCCATGTTGCACGGCATTGGCTCTGAGACGCCATGCTGCAGTGCCAGGCTGCAACAGCAACGAGGGCCGAGGTGTGCAGCAGCTGGTCGCGCGGTTGATGTTGAACTTCAATATCAACTACGCCACCGGTGCCACGCGGCTGGCGAGGTCCGGAGGAGTCGCCCGCGGCCATACGCCACACTCAGCCAGGACGACGACTTTTGACCAGGCGGTGCTCATCTGGGACTCTTTTTTCCGGTCGCGAGAAACAGCATCAAGATCATCACGGACAACAGTGCTGCACTGGAAGTATGTTGTCGACGATGACTTTGACATCATTGTACTGGAACATGTGACTTAGTTGCAGGTGCCGGCCCGTGGTTGCTCTGAGGCTTCAAAGCAGTGGTTTCCATACCCTTTGACATGAGTGTACTGATGTGTTATTCTCAAGTTTGGATTGGCTCTTGTATCCTGATATTTTCCTTCTTTCCATTTACCCATTTGCAGCGTGTTGAATCGCGCGCCTCAGATTGCAAGGTATTGGGTCATCGCAGCAAGCGCAGCGCAGCTCGTCATCCTCAGCATGTCGTCTTCCGCCAATGCCATTCTCACGGAGGCAGAGCGAGGGTGGCGGCCTAAGCTCGAGGTCACATCGAGGAAAGCATGTATAGGCGTTCAAAGCTTTTCCAGAGTTTACGTCTATGCTAATAATTCGAGTCTTTACGGATACAGCGAAGACAAAAGCCTCGACCCAACTAACACATACTTTAAACATGACAGCCCATTGCGACCTCAAGTTTTCTCTCAAACCTTCTCAGTTCATGCTACAGGATCAATCAGAAAGAGCTTGAGCAAGTGTAATCTTTGGACGATTCTTGAACCCCAAAAATGCTCAGCATAGGAGCAGTGCGAAGGCATCGGGGACTTTGCCGCCGAATCTGACGGAGCGAAAACTCCCGTGAAGTTTAAAGTTTAGACTCGCTGGAAAGCCTGCACCCTAAACTTGGCTTTGCAAGAAACCTACATGCATCTCCACGCGCTGAATCGTGATTCGTTCTTGAAGGTTGCGAACCGCCACGTGGCCGCTCTTCGCCACGGGCCCAGATGGGCTTGGGTATTATGTCCATTAATGTACGGTCTTCAGCCATTGACAACCAATTGCTCCAGTATCTGTATAGACATATTGATTGGCAGAGCATCGCATCAGCCGGTCAGCCAGTTTGTGACGATGCACGGCCACACGCTCTTGCGGCTCGTACTCGTAGTCATAATGAAATGATCAGGACTTCTCACATTCAGCATCCAACATGACTCCGACGATTTCATACCCATTGCAGACCAAACGATGTTGTTGATGAGCACGGCTTCTCAGCGTCATACTTATCATAGTTGTCGTTGCCTTCGTCGTCTTCATCCGCCTCACTAGCAGTAGCATCATCGTCAGCATTGTCGATAGCGAAATGGACGCAAGCATATTGGTGCCCAGACGTCAGCTGTAGCCACTTTGATGTTCACAGTCCATGTAGCAAGGGCAATCAGAAATCCTAACGGTTATCCGTTCGTCTGGTTGTCGAAGTCCTCGTCGCGGCCGTCGTGGCAGCGCAGTTGGACTAGCAGCAGTAGTCATAGTCAGTCGCAGCAGCCGCAGCAGGAGGTATAGTCGGTATAGTCCTAGCAGGGGATGCAGTACCAGTAGTCCAGCCACATGCAAGGGTGCAGGGGCGCACTCGCCTGTATCTACAAATGCAAAGACGTATAATTTACATTCGCGCGTTCGGAAGTAACGCAGTGGATTGGGGCCCTAGTCAAGATTCGGTTGCTATATCGCTTCAACCTTCAATCGGATGTCTTTTCTTGTCGAAACTTGGAGTCTTGGACTGACTGGGGCAGTGGAGCTAAGGAACAAGTGCTTGCGTTCTGACTGTTGGTGTGTTGGAGCATGCTCAGAATAGGCAATAAGTATCGGCGGGGTCTGCATCACCGACTCGTGGGCGGTGCGGCGGTAGAGTTGAAGCATGCAGCATCCGTCCAGTAATGGTGTCACACAAGGCAAGCAAGTCTGATCTAAAGCAGCATGTTGCTGCAGATTCGCTGTTCAAGTCCCCAGGCACCTCTTCCCCCGCAAAGCCTCCAACCCCAGCTCTGGATCCTATTGAGCTGGCCGGCTCTTCACCTTTAACCTCCATGCCCCGGAGAAATCCTACTGGAAGGTTCATATGGGCAGTTGTAAGTAGGGTTACAGGCCCCCTAATATGGGTTCGAAGTATAGTTACCCTACTTCTAGCCCCACTTCTAACTGCCCATGAACCTCTAAAGCAGACCCGCAGTAAAAGCCTTAAAACATCTTGAAGCTCGTTAGACCCCTGAAGCCTCCTTAAGGCCTTTCTCAAGAGGGTCGGGGGACTTAGTGACTGGTTACTTTAAGTTAAGGACTTATAAGTACCATAACCCCAATTAGGGTCCCTTTTAAGGTACTTATAAGTCTACTTACTACCTACTTACTAATACTAAGTCCCCCGACCCTCCAAGTAAGGTTCCTTAATGGTTTAGGGTCTGGGGCTGAGTAGGTAACCTTTCTAACCTTATGGGGCTTATAGGTCCTACTATACTTCAAAAAGTTAACCTTTTTGTGGGCAAGGGTTCTCAGCCCCTAAGTAATAGAATCATGGAGGGTTGAGGATTTAGGGTCAGTGAGAGTTACCTGACAATATACTGTCCCCAAAAGCCTTGTTTGGTTCATGAAAGCTGCCTTTTCTACAGACCTGCGTTCAACTCCTGGCATAGATCATGTTCCTCGTTGTGCCCAAACCGCAACGAGCTACCATTGCTTGCAAAGGCAGGTATTTTCGGGGTAGCCAAAATGCAGAGAAAACTCTAGATTGGTGACAAGCCGGCACTCGTTTTCCAGAGGTCCGAAGTGCAACTACAGCCAGGCGCCTGGCTCCTCAAACGACTGCGAGGGATGCTGGGTGTGAGGATTAATTAATTACAGCTTTTTGTGGCTTATGGAGCGGATTTGTTAACCAGTTGATCATGGCGTACAAGGGACCCTGAACCGTGACTGCGGATTTGCCAATCATGGCGCAGTGGATGGCTTCCGACCGAGGCAGGCAATCGTGATGTCGACTCCGACCACTATCGCTTTCCGGGTGGAAGGCCGCGCATGCTTCCATTCCAGGACATACCCAAAGGCTCCATAGTAGTTCCTTTTTGGGATTACCTTTTCGGATATTAAATATGAACCCCAAAAAGGAACTACTATGGAGCCTCTGGGTAGATACATCCATGGTTTGGGGCCTGGGGGATGAAAGTCACATGCGCACCGACGACAGTGTATTGGCGATCCAAAACCTATATAAGTTTGAAAATCCCGCTGCATGCGGATGCGCATGAGGCATGCGCATGGAGAGCAAGACGGGAGCGCCAAACCCGAACACCCTATATAGGCTTCGATCTCCGTGACCGCAGAGGCACAGCGCCCATGGACTACTCGCTGTTTCTGGGGCTTGCCACCGCGCTGCTCTGGGTGATTTGTGACAATGGGGCAAGCGTCGGAGGCCTATGGCCCTAGATGCTTTGTAGGGTTTGGTCGATTTTCGACTTTTCGGGTTGGGCGGCTGAGCTTCCCCTAAACCCTACATTCTGAGCCCTAAAGCAAAGCCTCGGACAGTTCTGAGCCCAGCCCTTCGCCTCGAAGCCGAGGCACTACTCCATGGATTACTCGCTGTTTCTGTCGCTGGCCACCGCCACGAGAGCGCAGCCCTGAGATGAATCGCAAATAACACTGGAGCAAAGCCCGGTTTGAGAGGTTTCGGGTGGGGAACTTGCTTGTCGGATCTATCCGACTGAGCTGGTGCAGCTCCGTAACACCCAAAGCTGGGGTTGGCATGTTTTCAAGCACACACCGGATAACAACCGAAGTAAGGCTGGTGTTTCTGCCTTTAGCCTATGACTCGGGCCTCAATGCCAAACTGTCAGAGAGCCCTACCCGACCCCCCAAAACACTTTTAAATCCGAAGTCTTCGTGGATATCTTGTGTATCCGAACCGCTATCACCTAGGAGCTCTAGACACCCAAAACCCAAACAGACCCTAAAGGCGCATCCGTGTGCCTATGTGAAATGCGTGGTGTATGATTTCATCAGAGAGTTCCGGGTTGGGGACAGGGGTTTGGCGACTCTTGAGGGACTTGAAGAATGGTCAATCATAGCGGCTGCAGGCAATCCGAAGGCCGCTAGAATGCCATGCTCTCCACTGAGCCCCAAAACCCCTGACAACCCTCCTTGTGTCTCGCGTTTCCGAGGCGCCTGAGTCGTGGCCTGATTCGTGTCATGTTCCTGAAGCCCTGAGCCGCAGCCTCCACCATTAAATCCTGACTAAGACCCCAGAGACTCCCAGATCCTATGAGCTCCATAATCATCCGGAACTTCGCCTAGCTTCGAGCAGTTCACAGCGAATATTCATTGTCTTGGGAGTCCCCGATCGCGGAGCATCTAGCGGTATTCAGCTATTGCAGAATGCCCTGTGACTAAATCGGACGAACTCCCATGCTGATACGGTCGGAACATCACGCAGAACCCTAAACTCCAAACCCTATAGGCTCTAAATAGATCTCGCACAGTTTGCTGACTGAGCCGCTTTAATGTCTCAGCGCTGCACGGTTGCCTGGCCTGCCCTTGAGCTCACCGAACAACTCGGGAGATCCAGGGTCAACGCGAGAAGCAGGAGACAGTGTGCGTGACAATTACTGCTAGTATTCCTTCGGGTTCCTGCCTATGCCATATTATAGTGTAGTATTGCGTGGCTTTCCCCTTGCAGTCCGCCTCATGCCTGCGACCAGAACAGGTTTCATCAGGGAACGTTTCAGACTGCATTCGCTTCGGCACGAAGTACTGTCTCCCGTTACATGTTGCTCAGCCAAGCAAGATGAAGTTCTTAGCTTGACTTGGCTACACAAAAGCGACGGAGCAGACGGAAGAAAAGGACTTGGCACATGCATCTAGAATCTAGACACTTAGTCTTCGATTTAGTTCAAGAACCTCCATCTCGCTGCTGTAGGTGTGAGCAGTGTTGCACTAACTCTGATGTGGATCTTCCGAGTTCGGAGATGCTGACGAGTGGACACGTTCACAGGCTTGCTCGAAATTGATAGGGCAAAAGACTTGTCATGCGACGGACATCCTTGCAATGTCGCCACAGAGTTGCAGGAGAGGGAACTTTACCTAATTGCAGAAGGCGAGTGCTTGATGCATGGCCGTTCGCTTCAATGAAAAGTGCCCTGAATGTCCGCAAGCTTGTATCTCCGAGGAACAGATTAGGCTTCAACCGCTCTCGTGTTCTTGCCGCTCCGCGTAACAAACTGAACATGCATTCTGGATACAGCAACATGACGAGTTGTGCACAGAGACGGGAAGTTTCATGTCATCACGCACTTGGTTTAAAGTAGTTGTTTCGATCCTGGTTGCATGACTATACCACATGCAAGACTTTGGCGGAGTGTTAGGGCAATGGAGCTTCCGAGCAAGACTTTTCATTTCTCTTGGGGTGGCGACTGCAGATCTCTGAAAATCTACAGTGGCACCCCTGCGGAAGACATTATCTATGCAGTCAGGTGCGAGTACAACCTGCACAACGAGGAGTGTCTGCAATTTCGGGATGCTGGTGGTGTTCGTACAGTGTTGTCTCATGCCTGCCCGGACGGAATGGCATTTGTGGTTTGTTCCGGCACCGGCACTGCCCTGCCACGGCCTTCGACAACGACGGTGCCTCCGAGGCCGGAGGAAGGTGCTTTGCACTTGGGGTCAGGGCTCTTTGAGGTCGAAATGATCTATAAGAGTATCATCTTATGGTCCCGAACAAGTAGGAATGCAGGCAATGGCCCCGAAGCCCTATTCCAGTTAAGGCCCTTACATTAGCGCGCTCCGTCGCCAAGAATCAATGTGAACAGTTGAGCGTACGATTGCAGCAGGCATGCAGCTTCTCACGTGGCAAGGCCAGACGGCCGGAGTCCAAAATTAGTTCCGATCGCAGCGCCCGGGTTGCACCAAGAGTATCAGTCATTATCAGTCTTTGACGTAAGAATGGCTGATGCAAGGCGTCTCGCGTGCACGCACATACTCTTTTGCCTGTTTTTCAGCCCCTTGTTTCGGGTCAGCGCTTTGCCGTGCCAGGGTTGTGAATGTCCTTGCTTTCAATATGGTGTAACAATCGACACGCACTGAGCTCCTGAGCCTGTCAGGATGAAGGACCCCTGCGACACGACCACAAAGTGGACAAGCTGGACCCAGGCAGAGTTCATGTGGAGTTGTGCAAGGACAAAGAGTTGGCTAAAGGTGGTTTTTCAGTTGTGTACCAGGGGGAGTTGGATGGGCGCCCAGTTGCAATCAAGATGGCACGTGCAGATGAAGATGAGTTAAACAGGGAAATCTCTGTTCTGCGCAGACTGAACCATGACAATGTGGTTCAGCTATATGGCACTTGCGCCAAGGACGGCAAGTTGTTGGAAGTGCTTGAATTGTGTGGTCGCGGTTCTTTGGATGTGGTCGTGAGGAATGAACTTGTGACACAGCAGGTTGGGCGCCGGTACAGAATGGCCTTGGATGTAACAGCTGGTGTGTGCTACCTGCATGACCAGAGAGTGTATCACGGTGACTTGAAGCTGGCAAATGTCCTTGTAAGCGACGATTACAGGTGCAAAGTGGCGGACTTCAACTTATCAAAATTCATTCCTTCAGGTACGGCTGCATTTGAAGCTCGCGGTGGCACCAAGCTATACTCATCTCCTGAGGTACAGAAGGGAAAGGATGCCAGCTTTGCATCGGATATCTACAGTTTTGGTCTGTGCCTTTTCGAACTGTTGACTTTGCAAAACTATGCCAAGCTGGTGATGGAAATGGGGGGTCGGGACCTTCTGAGGTGGCTCAGGGATGGGCGCATGCAAGTCGAGCTGAAGGGCTGGCCAGCGGAATTTGTACCCCTGCGGGCGATCGTGGACACTTGCACAGCTTATTCTCCTGCGGAAAGACCCTCTGCTTCCAACATCCTTGCTGCCTTCAAGTCGTTGGACCCCTGTGCTTCCGAAATTACAGCCGGAGACGTGGCTGTCGCAACTTCTCGTGCTATTTGCAAACCTGAGCAGTCTGGATCCTCGTCGGCCGCGGCTCCTCGAAGATCTCAGATTTTACCAGCGTGTCGATCTGAACAACAAGTACAATGGTCAGAGTTGCAGGTCAGACAGCCTGCTGTCATCACTGACTGCCGGCATCCTGGATGGGGATCTGTTGCTGCGCTGCCGGAGTCGCACGTTGGGCGCGAGAAGTGCTTCGTGTTGCCGCCGTGGGCGTCACGACCTGCTCAAAATCTCGCTCTGCCAGGAATTCGATTGCAATGGTTTGGCCCCTGTCCCTTTCAACACAGCTTACCATCAAACCCTGTGCAAAGACGACCGCTAGCAGATGATTCGACGGGGAACTGGGCCGGGCAGTGCAAGATTGAGGAACTCCCAGACTCTCAGTTCTATGTGGAGCAGCCAGAGAAAATTTCGGAGGTACCGAGCGAAGACAAGGAGTATGAGTCGCGGGGACTCTCTGCTCGTTACGTCCATGCTGTCGATGATATTTGCCATGCATACGGCCGGCTGTCCAAGGGCTCCATCTTCAACACTGCCAAAGTCTCACTTGAGGATTTGTTTTCAGACGAACGCCATGACCAGAATCTCGCTTTCAACTGCGGCTCTTGGGGTAGACGCAGCCCCGCAGTTCCAAGGCACCCTCTTGAACCCAACGGCTGCCAGCATCATCAGTTCACGGTACTCTGAGATGCATGTCGTTCTGCATAAGCATCTCTAAATCCCCTTATAACCCCAGCGGTACGATACAATTGTTAGTCCGGGTATAGTAGTACCATACTTGGATACTTTTGTTGTTGGACATGTTCCTTGAATGAACCATTATGAAGTACACCTTAGCACGTTTTCCTCCTGGTTACTACAATGACCAGTAGTTGACCTCTTTGAAGCCTCTATTCAAGGAAGATGCCGGAGAGCAGCGATCCTGGAAGTGCAACTATCGATGCAGTGCATAGTTTTCCTGGGTATTACTTCACCTTTCCATATCGTCATGGCAAGAAGCGTGGTCAGGTCTCCTTGTTTGACATTCGAGACGTTGCTCTGGCACAGCACACACAGTTTCGCCATGGTGACCGTCTGGAGCGTGATGGACGCTACTTCACAGTCATCGGAGTGCAATTCAATGCAAAGGGAAAACCTCGAGTCTACACTCAAGCTGATGACGATGCCGGAGCAGCATTCCATGAGGATGATCTTTCATCATTTCGCAAAGTCGGCAGCTTAAAAGTGGCTGCAGCGGAACCAACAAGATCGACCTTCTCTGATCAGCACGACACATCGGAGCAGCTGGATCGGATCCTTGCGAAACTGATTCAGAAATGCAAGTTGGATGGACCTGGCCGCAAGACAGTTGCAGTGATGAGGCAACTTTTCAAACAGGGTGGCAAAAGCAAGGACAACAGCAACGCTCCCTGCGCCCTCTTCGATTTGAAGCCTGATTTCCCTGTGCAGCTTCGTTCGAGCCAGAAGGTGCTGAACTCGGTTCATGTGTTTGCATGTGGAGACAGCGCTAGGTTAAGGCTCTAGTACAGTTCCTACTTGGTACTGTTTCCTAAGGTGGTGATGTGTGATGTGCGGCCGGATATATGCGATCACTTCGGCTATTCTCACGGGGATTGGGTGCTGTACGATTCCGAAGCAGGAGCCATGTGGCTTGTGGTGGTTGGCGTGTGTGACATGAATGGAAAGCCCGCCTTGCTGTTCTGGCGTGACGGTGATTCAGGAGCAGGGATTATGGATCCCTTGCCTACTGATATGAAAGTGCTGTCTCGAATCCATCCTCGGGAATTGCGAAGCCGCTTCGGATCCCTCCCACCATCAGCATGCAGCTTCAACTTTAAGTTCATGGCTGGTGAGACAGCCCCAGTTGTGCGGAAGTTTGCTACATCAGCTGAATCTTGCAATGCCTTCGGCTTCGAGTTCGGAGATGTCGTGAAGGACAAGTGGGGCAAGGAGTATGTTGTTATTGGTGTAGGACCACCAGCCGCAGGTCGCCACTGGCACAAATCAAACAGGGTTCGTTTGTGGGCCTATGAAGTCGGCAGCGAGGGAGCGCAACCACTCAAAGTCGATTGCCACATTCGTTTTGTCAGACGGGGCCCAGAACCAGTAGAGTTTGGCCCCATAGGAGCATTGGAATGTACGTTTCCATATCCGGTGCGCACGCACGGCCATGCTCCCAAACGAGCCGTCAAGTTCGATGTCCGACCTGAAGTGTGCTCCAAGCTCACCGGCATGTCAGATCTCCAGCACGGAGCCCAGATTCAGAATGAGCATGGGAGGAAATTCTCTGTCGTCGGTGCAGCTTATTATCGCGGTCAACCGCAAGTTTGGTTTGAGCGTGAAGGAAAGTTGGGCGCAACCCTGTTTGACAAAACTGCATTCCTGCGCAACTTTGAACTGGTAGGTCGAATCTCTTTGCAGCCATGTGGTGCTGATGTTCCAGCCATGCATTTGCAGAGCTCGTTGGATTGGGACGACGACGCCACAACTGGAGACATGAAAGGACTCTTGGGGCTGCTGTGCTCAGGTGCCAGCCACACCCAGCTCCTCAAAGCTTTGGAAAGAAAAGCCAAGCACAAGAAGTACGCAAGGAAAAGCCAACTTCTGGAGAAGCGAATAGACTCAGTCAACCTGAACAAGGAAGACAGCATCAAGAGGGTTGAGCATGGGGGCATCAAAAAGGGTGATCGCGTCAGTGGTCCGGCTGCTGGCCGGCCAACTGGTCGCGTTGGCATTGTAACCAATATCGACGAGGGTGTTTTTCAAGTCGTTTCACTTTCAGAGTCATCGCAGCAAGATGTGTTCACTTGGCATGCCAAGTTCGATCAGATACACAAGGATCCAGAAGCTGATCTTGTGAGGCCGGGTGCCTTGGTGAAGCTTCGTCAAGCGGTGCAGCAACCCAGATGTGGATGGGGCGGTCTCACCCATGAACTCGTTCTTGGGGTCGTCCAGAAGGTGGAAAAGTGCATCGCATCCGTGAACTTGGGCTACAGCAACAGATGGCATGGCCCGTTGGATGAGTTTGAGGCGATCAAGCCTTCAGACAGCTTGCAAGTGGGCTCCCACATCCGACTCAAAAGCACAGACAAAGTTCCTAGATACGGATGGGGAGGGCACAAGATGCGTGCTGCGATCGGTGTGGTCGCTAAGATTGCGGATGAGGATATAAAGGTGAATTTTCCTGACATGGACGAGTGGAAGTCCCAGACTGAGTTCGGAAATCATGTTTGTTCTGGTGAGATTTTTCTGGCTGACTCCAGATGGACCTCAGCATGTAAGTTGATTTAAAATAAACCTTTACGAACTGAGGTGCAAATGTGATGAGATTGAAGTGGATCCCGTGTCAAATCGGATCCGGCCAGGAGAAACGGTGCAAGTGCGACAACAGGTATTGGTCCCCAAGTTCGAGTGGGGCGGTGTCAATCATTCTTCAGTTGGGGTTGTGGAGTCAATCACCCATGATGGCATTGTAGTTGTGGACTTTCCAAGCTGTTGCTGCTGGCACGGCCTTCTTGCCGAGCTTGAGATCGCGGCACAACCATTGACCAGAAAGCGGGTGGCCCTCATCATTGGAAATCACACATATATAGACAAAGAAGCGTATCCCTTCCTCAAAGCCGCCAAGAACGATGGCCGGGATACCCAGAAGAAGCTGGGGCTGCTCGGGTTCGATTTCGTGCTGCATGTGGAGAACATGTGCAAAAGTGACTTGGCGATATTCCTCCGACAACTTGAGCAGAATGTTGAGAACGGAAGCATCGTCGTTATCTACTTTGCGGGTCATGGTGAAGCAGATCGTCAGACTGTATTGCTTGCTGCGCATGATTCAGACAGCAAGCAGCGAAGCACGAAATTCGACACAGACCTCATCGTTCATGCCATCGCCGGCTGGTCTTCGAAGGATTTGTTTGTCCTGTTCATTCTAGACTGCTGCTGCTTGAAATCAGATGAATGTGGATCCGCCCCCACGACACGCGCGCCTGTCATCACAAACATCGCTTGTAACCAATTCTATTGCGTCTTGTCTTGCCAGCAGTTTCAGTCGGCTTGCCCAAAAGAGCACGGAGACTTCAGCAGATGTTTCTTGCAATGTGTCGATGAAGAAGTATCTGTGCATGAGCTCTTCGAGAAGGTAGCTCAGAAGCTTGGCAGGCGACAGCGACCCCAAGTCTGGCAGGAAGGGCATGAAGCCTCGCAAATAAAGCTTTCGTGTGGCGAAAATGTCTACCAGGCCTCAGAGGACGACAAGGTGGAGCGATTGAAGGCATCGATCAAAGAAGGCGATCAACGTGCAATGCTTGACCACTTGTGCGATGTTCGGGAGATTCTTGGGCCCAGGTTGTCTTATGCTCTGGAAGATGCAATGCTTCAAGGTCACATCCCAGCCCATTACGAACAGGGCCTCAGCAGATGGGAGGTGATTATGTTCCGGTTCATTTTTGACATATCCGATGATGAACCTGCGCATGCTTCGGCGTCTTTTTACCAAAGGGTGTCTTGAAGTTGGCCAAGCACTGTTTCAAGAAGGCTCCTTCGTCCTAGAGCTTGTCGAGGGGGAGAAACCCCTCAGCTTCTCAATTTGCCCGAGCCGAGTCGGTTGGCAGGATGCAGTTTCGGCATTGATTGAATCTTCATGTCACTCTTTGTTGAAGGTGACACCAAGGACACCATGCGGTGGTGCGACTTCAGACAACTGTCTTAGATGCTCACTCCTGCAATCCATGGTACAGGCAGGGTTTGCGTCTCGACCTCGGTTCAAGCGACCTGCATGACGTTCAATTGGTACGGGATCAAAATCGTCGGAACTGTGGTATCGTTCAAAAATCTTGCGGTGCTACTTTCCCGGCAATGCTAATTTCAGAAGTTAATCATTGCATCGAGAAAAATTTGCTGTTTAGTTCATTTAATAAAAACGTCGTCTGTTCTTGGGAGAAGTTGGGTGCATTTCGTTTTTGATTTTTTTCCTGCGCTAAACTTGGAATAGTTGTTATGACCACTTACATAACATAGTTGTGTAAGGTAGCTAAAAAGTTCGGTTGAGCTAGCTTAAGCTACACTTGCAGTTGCTATGATAAAAACACTGGTATTTATCATCTATATACAGAAAATTAAGATATTGGGTTTAGGCGTATATAGATTCATTTCTAGACCGAAAAGCATATATAGAAGATGATGTAAATGTTGTAAAATTATAAAACCCCAGATAAAAATGACTATGAGGCTATAAGTAGTAAAGTGCGATAGTTATATGTTGGATGTATGATGGTGATGGGCAGGCTGGAGATTTATGAGGCTTAGGGAGAAGAGCGAGAGAGAGAGAGAGAGAGGATCTGTAACGGCCATATGGTGAGGATGGGAGAAATCTATTGTGGTAGAATTTGTTAAATAGTTGATACAGGAGTAGTTTGCTCTTGATTGATTAGTTTGATCGGAAAAAACTATAATGGATAGGTTTATTCATTTAGATTTTATGTATTATTTATTAAATTAGTTGTTCGATAAGTAAGTGTCTTGAAATATTCTTATGCAGGTGAATAGGAATTTCAATTCTAATTTCTTTGATCGGATTTTATAAATCGAATATCTATATGGGGAATA